TTTCATCTAATTAATTTTTATTTTGTTTAAATATTATTTATTGTTAAATATGATTTATTTTTCTCTATGTATGAATTTTTAAATAAAATTTTAGAAAGCGATTATTTTCTTTAAAACAAATTTATATAATGAACTCTTAAGATTTTTAAATGATAGTAGAATATATATAATCTAAAAATTTTATATATTTTTTAGAGAATATGTATTAGATTTTTTAAATGAAAGTAAAAACTTTTTTTTATTATTAAATAAGTTATAAATCAGTTGTAATAACTCAAAATTCTGATCTGGTCATTTAATATTAACAAAATTATAGATATAATTTGCAGACAAGAGATTATTAAAAGTAAAAATTTTTCAATACCTTTCGTCCCAATGTTATCGGCCCTTTTGACTTTTTAAAGATCAATATTAGATTAAAAAAAAAAAGTTTAACAAAAATAGTTATAAATTAAAAATAGAAACTTGAATACTTATAAAACTTATTTTTTGAAATATTTAATAATTAAAGTTAATTAAAAAAGTTAATCAAAATTAATTTCTATCAACTTTCCGAAACTGATGAAGGTCCCTAAAAAAATTAGTCAAAGTCAATTTTGTAAATAAGTATATATATACATAACACTCACAACTTGACTCAACGATATCTCTATAGAATTTACCACTGTATACATATAGGAAGATGGAACATTTCAAGATTTTGAAGTTGATTCCTTTTTCCCTTTCGGTAATATTCCAAATCATACCTTACCCAGCCTTTTCTAATCTAAAACTTTGGCCCCTAGAAAAGATATATTATGTGTAGTTTGTCAATTCGCTATATGGCTAGCTATGGCATCTTATTCTCCTTTTCCTTTGTCTAATATTGTTCTTTTTTTACGAGGAAAAGGTTAGAATGAATTTCCTGCTTGCTTCAATGGATCCACCGGCTATGTTAAACACAAACGACTAAAGTTTCTATCCTAATCTACATTTATACAAAGGATTAAATGTTAATTTATTTTTTTATCATAATCTTACTTCTCTCCTCTATTTTTATATCTTAAAGAAATAAAAGATATTTTGGATAAAAAAAATATTTTTAGATTCATATTTTTCTTTTTTTTTAATATTTTGAGAGAATGGCTAGTTTTTCCATTTTTTTTTCAAAATTTATTTATTTAAATTAGGCATACAAAAAGAAGTTAAAGAGGGATAAAATTAAGACAAAAATCGAACCGAAGAGAAATGAATTTAAAACCACAAAAAAATAAAATAAAAGAATGCTATAAAAACAAAATAAACAATAAAAATACATCTGCAACAATTAACCTGATGCACAGATGGCACTGGAGGCAGCCACATGAGAAAATCTTCATACTTTTCTAATTTTCCTGTTCTTACATAAAAAAATTGAAAACCACAATGACAGAACTTTATTCGAACTCATTCATTAGACATCTTCAAGTGTCTTGGTTCCCGTTTTAACGCCATCCCAACTTATAATGGTTTATAGAGTAGAAATTCGATTATAACTTCGTAATTTCACCCGTCTTTTCCTTGGCTCGATTTAGTTAGTACTAATTTTTTTACCCACAGCGTAAAACACTTATTTTAAAAAAATTATTTCAATTTCATGTTCCGTATTATATTGTGCATCTATCACAATATATCAAATCAAAACTCTATAAAAATTCCTTTAATTTTATAAATTTTTAATCAAAATTTTATATTCAATTGATTATTCTTTACATTTTTTATAAAAAAATATTATTTATTTATCTCTATCTATATTCTTAACTAAAAAATTTATAATAATGTAAGAAAAAAAAATGTCAAAATCAATGGATTCTTAGCTAAAAATTTATTTTATAATTTTTTTTCTAAACATAGTTTTGCCTTAAAATTTTTAATTAAAAATATTAGAGAAGAAAAGTAAAGTCCAAAGTGACCAAAATGAAATAAAAAAGAAAGACCAAACTAAAAAAAAATTTACAAACTGAAAAACAATATTTAAAAAGAAAGATTAAAGTGTAATATTACAAAGGCTTTCTTAATAAACGTTTTAAAAAAGTTTGAAAACTACAAAATGGCCACTGCATGGTAAAAGAAACAATGCATATGAGTATGTATGAATAGCAAAAATAAATCTGGATAAATAGTATTTGGAACAATCCTAGTGAATAATAAACAAGTATTTTGCTTTAGTTTTTTTTTTTTTTTTTTGGTAATATAATTTTTTTTTATCTCCTTTCTAATTTGAGAAAACAGAAAGGAGATCGAAAACAAATTTTTTATTAAAAAACGTATAGTACCATAAAGAATTCTTATTACCTTAATTTAGTTGTAAATATATTTCGCAGTTAGTATGGTTTCCTAACATTTTTATCATACAAGCAAAACAGGTACGTCGATCATAAAACCAAGAGTAAATTCTTCTCTAGTCCTTCGTTTTTCAACTTAATTATAATTTAGTCCCTAACTTTTTGAAAACCTATAGTTATATCCTTCACTTCAATTATTTATTTATAACTTAGTCGTTTTTCACAAGTGCACCCTTAATTCTTAGTTATCATTGGCAAAAATTCCCTTTAAAAATTTTAAATTTTGATATTTTAAGCTAAAACGTTTCTCATATGATAACAAAAATCCAATCTACTTTTAAAAAATAATTTCAAAATTTTTTGAGATTATAAATTACTTTTTAAGTTTTCTTAAACATTATTTATAAAATTATAAAAAGAAACAGAAAATGATTTGGAATGATTCCAAGTTTTATTGGGATCCTAAAAAATCATATGCATTTATTTTCTTATTCTTAATATAATTCTCAAAATATTAAATTTATGGTTCTCAAAATTAACTTATTTTACACACTTTGGCTAAGTATTACACATGTGACCATAAAATATTTCGAAAAACTAAAATTAAACAGATCAATATATATGATTTTTTTAGGGCTTCTAAAAAAAATTTGAGACCATTCTATATTATTTTTTATTTTAAAATTTTAATAGTTAAGAAAAAATAAAAAGTACTTGCTAATCTCAAATAGTTTTGAAATTAGATTGAAATTTTATTAGCATATGTAAAAAATAAAAATAAAAATCAATCAGATAAAAATATTAAAAATTGATGACCTTTTTGTAAGATTTTTTCGTCAGTGGTAATAGAGAATTAACGATACACTACTTAAATGCTCTAAGTTGTAACTAGAGAATTAAAATAGAGGACAACACTATAAGTTTTTCAATACTAAAGGATTAAGTTACAATTGCATTGACAATTGAGGGATGACAAAATCATTTACTCGAAAACCAATGGATCTAGCTTCAAGTATGAAGAATACATAAAATAAAAAAAAAAAAAAATAAAAAAACATATTGAGTGCTTTTAATTATTCTTTCTATCAAAATTGTCCTCCTTGACTTTCACAAAAATTAAAAAATCTATTAATTGTTATGTCATATCATCCTCTTATATATATATAATGAATTTCATATGTTTTTCATATCCTCACTACTTATAATTCTTAATGCTATTCAATTCACTATTCAATATGAGAAATTAAAAGGATGATGCAAGTGATTCAAAAATTTATATATTTTTAATTATTCATAATCTCTTCCTATTCTCTTCTTAATCTTGAAGCTTATAAATAGGCTTGACTATTCATTAGTTCGTGTACAAGTATTTAGTACGGACGAGAGAGAATTGTTTGGAGTTGTTATCTCTTGCATTCTCTTTATTTCATAGTGAAATCATTTCTTCATCATTTTTCTCTCCAATTCTATTATTGTTACCATTTCTTTTATAATACATTATCATCATGAAGCTTTAACCAACCGAGATAATAGACCATAATGTATATGTCTACCAAAAGACTTAATTATTTATTTTAATCATTAGATTATTTCTCTACAAGAGTGCTCTATAAAAAAATCTTAATTAGGAATAGATTACATAAATCAATCAACTAGTGTGCACCCCAATCAATCAATCAATCACTGCAATCATGTAAAATGATAATGGAAAGACATAAAATATCTAACAAGAATTAGATTATAAATAGAACCTGTTTAGAGCTTGGTCTTTCTATGCTTAATGTTACACACCTGGATGCTTTAGTTTACTATTAAGGGAAGTCTGTGGTGCCGCTTTTGCACGTAACTGTCTTATGAAGTTTTTCTTTCCTTTCTTAGATATTCCTTTTAATTCATGAGCAGCAAACAAGTTTCATTTTCTTGATGTATTATAAACATTTGGGATACTGAGATCATACAACAAAGCATAAAATGCTGTTTTATATATATATATATATATATTTTTTTTTTTTTTTTTTAATTGCAAAGTCACTTAAAAACAAAACAACACTTCTAGCTTAATCAACATTAAAACTTTCAAATAATCTCGTAACGTAGTGTGAGTTATCAACTAGTATTCCCTATAATAAAATCACTTTGTACAATAAAACATGTCAATTTTTTTTTTAATTACAAGAAAAGTTTTCAATTTTTTTTTTAATCTATGCTCGATAATGCATCTGCATTTTATTTGAAGATATTTTTTAAAATGTGTTTTGATTATAAAAAGAAAAAAACATCAATCAGATGATTTTTTAATCCAAGTATTTTTAAAATTAAAAAAAAAAAAAAAAAAACTTACGTAACACTACCAAACGGGCATTGAATCCACAAGCCACATCGTTAATAAAATCCACTGCTCCAGAATTAAACAAGACCTTCCTTAGAAAATGCCCGAATTTGATTTTGATGAGTTTTGACCTAACATTCAATCAAAACGCGGAGCGGTTATTTGTCAAATTACCAAACTATCCTCATCAGGCTCCATAAAAAAATAGTAATACGACACCCTTGCTACTTCCGGTTCCGTTTCCATTAAGAAAAACCGAACTTTCCCACTCCCATATAACCACCACACCCATTCCTCTTCCTCTCAACAGATCAGACTTGAGAAAGAGAGAGAGAGAGAGAGAACCCTCTTAGAGAGGAAAAGTGGGAATGGAAGGGGAGATGGGAAGGAGTGGAAGCAGCAGCAACAGCAGCAGCAAGAAGAGGAAGATGTGGCTTTTTAAGAGGTTAAAGTTGAAGGAATCTTGGAGATGGAGATTGAAGTTTTTGGGGTCTGCTTTCAAGTGGAAACGGCTTAACATACAGCTTTCTTTTTTTGATGATTTGATTTTCAAGATTGTCTCTGTTTTAGAGGCTATTGTCTTGGTTATTCCTTTGTGCTTCTTTTTCCTTTGCTGTGGTTGCCATTTTTGACATTAGTTTCTCTAATGTTATTTGGCTTTAGAAAATTTCTGCGTATGTTTTTTTGGTTGTTTCTCTGGTATGTATAGTTTCTTAGATCTTTGTAGGAAGAAAAAGAACCTAAGAAAAAAGAAAAACAGAGAGTTGTATTTCTGTGGTTTCATTTCTTAATGCAAGTTGTTAATGATGGAAATTTGACGTAGCGTAAATCGAATTCTCTATTTACATAATGGAATAATGAATTGAGAATATCATTTAATGCTAGATTTGTGAGTTGATGATGAAAAAAACTAATTTGACAGAGAGTTCTGGAATGGGGACTGGTTGTTAAGGCTTTTATTTTCTGATGAAAAATTTTCTTCTTTCTGGGTTATTTATTCTGGCATTCCTTCTGTTCTTCGTATTTCGTTTCTGAAGTAAAGAGAAACTAAAGGAAAAGATTGATTTCCTTTTCCTCTTCTTTTTTATTCTTCAAAGGGAAAGTTAGCAAGGATTATTATTATTATTATGTTTTCCTTCTTGGCAAACCTTAAATTAATCACTCAATTAAGCAAAATCGTAGCAGGTTTATATAGTTGCTAAACAAAAGAGACCATGCTGGACAGCAGCAATCAAGAACAATAATTGCAGCAATAGATTCAATACTTACAGGTCTATGTTCAAACTTCTCCGCCATCTTGGTTGCCTCTGTAATTGATAAAGCCTAGACAGAACGGCACCTTAGCCTGAGAGTTCTCCCTCCAAATCTCGCCTTCCTGCTTCCCAAAACACAATGGCAATCCCTGTAAAGTCCTTGTTGCTGTAAGAAAATAGGCATCGCAATTGATTTTCACAGCATCATTGTAGCAATTCGTTATTCAATTTTGCTTTTGGACAAAGTTTTTGTTTTGTTGAGCTGTCACTCTGGCAATCCTCTTAACAAGTCAATCATCGGAGTGAAGTCACCTCACCTGCCCTACCAACCGTACCTCCATGGCACCAGAACCAAAGAAGATCATCAGCGACACTGACCCTGGCATTGGTATTAATATATATTCCTTTCTTTCTTTCTTTTTAACTCCACAAATTCTCAACTCCATTGGGCTTTTCTCCTTCCATTTTTTAACATCGAGACCTTTAGACATTGATGATGGATTTCCCTTGAGTTTGAGACCATTAATAAGTTAGATTATCAAGTTTTTTTTTTTTTTTTAATTCAATCTCTTTGATTTTTGTTTTGGTGGGGTTATCTCTCTCTCTCTCTCTCTCTTTTGAGAAAGAGGATCAATTGAAAAGAAAATGAAATTCTGCTTTTTGAACTTCTCATGATCTGGGATTTGATAAAGTTAATATCTTTGGCTAAAATGAGTTGTTAGTTCAATTGGGTTTGTCTCAAATTTATGTTCTTATTGTAAAGATTTGAACTTTCTACGCAATGTATATGATGCGATGGCATATCTTTCTTGCTTTGAGATCACGTGAAGTGGAGGTGATTGGACTTGCTACTATGTACGGAGATGTTTATTAATTCTACTCTACTTTCTGCTCCCATCACGGGCTGCCTTGTTTAGGGATTTTGTATGAATTCTGTTGATTAAAAATAAACCGAAGAATGAACAAAGATGAAAGAAATTGCTGGCTTTTTGTTCACTCTGCATCCTTTGCCAACCAATTAACCTTCCTCTCTGTTCGAAAATAATAAATGTTAAAAGAAGAAATAGGTGTTAGTTGGGAAAATAAAAGTGTCTTTACCAAGCTTGTGTGTATATCTTCTTCCAAACATATGTTAATACACATAAAGCTCCAAATTGTAGAACTTTCTGATGTAGCCATTTTTTTGTTTCCCAAGAAACACAGCCAAGAGACAACCTGGAAACTTCAGAGCTTAGACACGTCATGATCATTCTGATTGCGACCTCACCAACGTGGAGGAAGAAGCTTAATTAGGTAATAAAAACTCTCCACTCACATAAGTTTGATGTCAACAGTCAACATCTTTGAAGGGTCAGAAACGTCAACTGGAAGTTCCAACAAGGAATAGAGTACTTCAACTCACAACGAGCGGATGGTATGTTTTGGGTGACCGAAGCATGTTAATGATCCCATTAATAATTGACATGGTCAAGAAATTTGTTGGCTCAACCAAAGCGAAGGTTCTCTCTGCTTTGCCACTCATTGTTTAGGTGACAGAAGGAAACTTTAACAATAGGTAGAGGTAGTCAACGAATTAATCATTTCTAAGATGAAAAAACAACACATTTTTCCTTCCAGTATGTATGTACAAGACACCAAGATTGAATGCGTCGTATCTATTCCTGATAAGGAAGTTTTCTATATTCCTAACTTTTATATCCTGGAGTTCTTATCATTCTTCCAGAGTTTGTTGATGTCAAGCATCCAGGAAAAAAAATCCCATGCTCTTACCATACATAACCTGATGATAATTCTTGTATATTTGCAAGTTACAGAGAACTATTCCCTCATTTAGATTGATGTTCCAAAGAAAATTTTGCTAACTTTCTCCATGACATCTCATTGAAAAGAAGAAGGGAAAAAAAAAACTTAAGGTGTGAAACTGATTCTATGAAATGAAGCACAAACAAACAAGTTCCTTTCTAAAACTGCCTTTTTTCCAAATTACAGTACCAAATAAGAATTATTGTGTACAATTTCTGAATGATTGTATCATTTATATGCATATTTTGACAGGAAAAAAAATAAAATAAATAACTTGCGGTTAGATTGAGATCTTTTGCATGAAGCAGCCACAAGAATCAAGAACCAAAATCATTAATTAATCAGCAGCCCTATACATGAACATCTGCTTTCCCATTTTGGTTTGCAAATGGCTCCATCTCCAAACCACCATCCTCCACTGATAAGTGCTGCCAGTTCGGGAAATGCTGGGACGAATTGTATGCTGATATCGTATCCGCAATACTCTCATCTCCAGAACCAGAAAATTGCTGGATCACAAGAACCGAGCCTTGTGCAAAACTTGATGTAATTAGCAAATCCCCAATAGGCCCCAGCTCCGGGTAATCACACCAATCCGCCAAGGCTGCTGTGAGAGGTGAGACTATCCCTTCCCCTTTCCCTACAACGTAGAGGTCATATGTGTGGTGCATTTCCCGTAGCGCTAAAACTATATCTTCATCGTTGTTCGCTACCTTCTCTTTATAACTTACAAACTCTTCTCCTGCGGTCTTAAGCCTGAACTCGTTCACATACTCGTCATCTAATTTTTTATGTCTCTCTACATATGAGATGGATGTTAACATTTTTTGTGTCTCGCCAACTGGGAGGTCTATTGCTTCAATTTCTTCTACTTGATCTCCAGGAAGAAATCTCATTACTGTTAAACTGATCCCTTCCGTCCCTCCCATTCTCCATGCGTACGCTAGAGCCTCACGGTCATCAGGTCCACCAACGAACAGCATGAGTATCTGGCGCATGGTGAGTCTAGATTCTCCATTTTCAGAAATCCCAAATCCTCTGTCGACAAAAATTCCCACAGAGCACGGTGCATTAGCCAACACATTGAGGTTTACACCTCTAAATGAATTGTTATCCTCATCTTCTAATTTTCCGTCCTTGGATGGTAGTTTATGGAACGGTATGACCAAAAGAGCTGTTTGTTTTTCCTCAGCTAGACTGCAAATATCTTCGTACATGGAAGCAAATGGAGACATTGAAGTTAGGGCCTGGATATTAACGTTGTCGTTTAGAGTCTGGTAAGTTTCAAGTGCAGCAACTATTTTTTCAGACTGGGAATTTTTGCGGCCACGTCTAGAGCTACTGGATTTTCTCGTGTTGTGGACGATGAGCATAGCAGAGGAACGGCCGACGAGCTCAACGAGGTGGAGTGCAAAGACTGTGAGAGGAGATCCTCTGGTAGCATTGGAGGAGTCTATGAGGTTGATCATGCCCGATACATTCCGGAAACTCTGGAAGCATGCGAGGATTCGTAATTCTCCATCTTGTCTCCCGTTTTGTATTGTCCTTCGCTTGTAATGGGATAAACGTTTTTCAGGGTGGTAAATGCTGGCCAACACAGGAGCCACAACCCCCGTCATTACTAAGATGGCCACCACCATCACTGTATAATCTGCTTGTCTCAAGAACTGTAACACAGTTAGCATTCATATTCGTTAGAGCCCATTATTACCATAGTGATCCACATAAGTAAACGATAAGTTTGTGGTAATAAATCAACAAGTAAAAGTTGCATGAGAGAGAGAGATTACGTTTCCTGCCGCGCCGAAGTGAAGGATTAAAATTGCTAAGATGCCTTTGGTATTCAAAATTATTCCAAGAGATAAACCTTCTCTAGTTGGCATTCTTCCGTAATAAGAAACAAGGAGAGTGCTTAGAACCTTTGCTGAAGAAGCAAGTACCATAACTACCAACGCTATTGGCCAGTAGTTTCCTTCATCATTATTAAGGCTCCAAATGTCTACTCTCAGCCCACAAACCGCAAAGAATAGGGGTAACAAATACCCAGTCACGAAGTCCTCAAATTTGTCTAGGAAAGCAGCGGCTAGAATCCTATTCGGCATAATAAACCCGAAAAGAAAAGCCCCAACAATGGAGTTGGTCCCAAGAATATCTGTAACAACTGCAAATGCTGAAATCGCAACCAGAACGCAACATAGATAATCCTCATTAAAGTTGTTTTCCTTTGATGTTTTGCGGATTATGATGGCCAGAGCGGGGCGGAGTCCGAAAATGCAAAGCACAGCGAAACCAATTGTTGAAAAGAGTGATAGGCTGCCAGTAGTCCCTTCGTTATTAAGAAACGCTATCGTGATAACAACAAGAATCCAAGAAATCAAGTCACTGACAAGAGAAGCTGACATGGCCATTCTTCCAATATCCGTGTGGACTAACTTGACATCGTTCAAAACTCGAGCAACAATAGGGTAGCCTGTGATTGCCAGCGACACACCGACGAAGATGCATCCCTTATTGTGATATTCTCCACCAGCAGCTTGATTCATGAGAAAGAAAAGGCTAATTCCCATAATGAAAGGAATGAAGATTCCCGCAATAGCAACATGGATTGCCTTCTTGCTTGTCCGTGTTAGATTTGCAATTACAGACATGTCAAATTCTAAACCAAGCAAGAACACGTGGCAACACAATGCCCAGTATGCTACTGTTTCAACTATCATGATGCTTCTCAAAGGGAACAAATTGTGAAACAAAGGAATCCGACCTAACGCAGTTTTCCCCATCAGCACACCACCCTACAATACATAATATAGCATGAGGGATAGAGCTAGAAATTCAATACCTAGCTATAATCCGTTAGTAGATTATATATATATATATATGCTGATGCATGTTCTGAACCAGTTTCCATTTTTCAAGTCTACTCCATGTACAATTTTCTTCTTCGTTTTCAGTGTTCATGCTAGGTGTTTGAAAATTAATTAAGAAGGCTGAAGAGTATATATATATTTAGATGCATTGATGATGGATGTCACACACACAGATACATATATATAGATAAATATAAATGTTGCTTACCAGAATATCTGTAAAGATTTTAGGTGCGGACAAAGGTCTAAGGAGGTAATAGACAGCACGGGTGACCAAGATAGTTGCGACGAGTTGCATTGCCAAGAGAGGAAGGGCTTGATTCAAGGGATTTTCGGCTTGCCAGATTCCATGTGAAGCAGTGATATTCACGATTAAACAAGCTTTATTTGATGCATTTGCTCCATGATAAAAATTTTGCAGTTCATTGATATCCATTTCGCCTTCCTAGCTAATCAATTCTCTCTTTCTTTCTTTCTTATCTCTACCGCTTAGACAAATCGTTGAGTCCTTTAGCAAGGCCGGAGAAAGGAACTAGAGAAAGAAATAGAAAAGAGAGAGATAAGTTTTGACAAAAGTAAGAAATCACGGGTATACGTAGTCCCTTCAGTCTGAGGTATCATTTAGCTTCTTTTTCCTTTTCTTTTTTCTTTTCGTGGCAATTTTCTGTTTGGATTCTGTTGCGATTTTGTCATGTCATTGCTGTTAAACTCAAGTGCATGCATCTCTACCAGCAGTTAAACTATGTCTATTTCTAGGATGTCAACTCTGTCATCGTCATAGTTTAAGAATCCTGTCAATGTCATCATTCCAACAAATTGAATCTGTTTTTGACTCAAAAATTCAAAACCCAGATAGACATATCTATATATGCGAATTATGTGAATTGATATTTGGATCCTTAAAAAACGCTAAAAATAGTTGGATTAGTTTTACAATACGTGCGTTTTTCTGCTGAATTATTCCTTGTCAGACTCTCAATTCCGGTATAAAATTAGCACATTTAATTAATATGGCTCTTATATCTTCTTCTTCTTCTTCTTCTTCTTCTTCTGGCTAATTATTTGGTGAACAAAGTTTCTACTACATGATATAAAACCACAATGGACCACTTCTCATAAATTAAGAGTTTACCCCATAATTGATCTTTGTACAGCTTTAATTTTTTGACTAAGATGTGAAAATTATTAATACCCTCCGTTAACTATGATCCGACATGGCATTTTAAAAATGATGATAACCAATCGGGAACTAACATGTGAAAATTATTATCCTAATTGTAAGATTATAATTCTGAAACAAAAAACTTATATCTTTTAAAAACATTATATATGAACAAATTTTTAATTTATAAAAATGAAAATAAAAGAACAAAAATACCCCCAACATATTATACCAAACAATTGTTCTCTTCTTCTTCATTTTATATTGTTTCAAAATCCCTAAATTCCAATCTTCTCTTCTTCTCCAATGTTCGGCAATTTGCCACTCGACTCTCTCTCTCTCTCTCTCTCTCTGGGTCAAAATCCCTAAATTCTAACTTTTCTCTTCTTCTCCATTGTTCTAGCAATCTCAATTGCCCCGATTCTCTCATTTTCTTCCTTTCAAAACCCTTAAATTCCAACTCGTCTCTTCTCCATTGTTCGGCAATCTCATTGGCTCGATTCTCTCATTTCTTTATTTCAAAATCTCTAAATTCCAACTCTTCTCTTCTTCTCTATTTTTCTAGCAATCTCAATTCTTTGATTCTCTCATTTTCTTTATTTCAAAATCCTTAAACAACTCTAAATCTCATTAACCCAATTTTGTTGTTGAATCCTTAAATCTCAAAATCCCGAATTCTCCCACTAAACACAAATTATGCTTTTGTGTTAAATCCTTAAATCTCTAAATCCTAAATCCCTAATTTTGTAGTGTCTTCTCGTAATCCAAAAGGACATGACCACTTCATCCATGTCATTTTCATCATCTAGACATTCAAATTTATCACAACTATCGTTATGTCCACTTGGTTATCAAGAATTACGAGTCATCTTATAAAGAATCATCGATTATATATTTATGAGGGATGAAAAAACTAAAGGTATTTTCTTGGAGTGATGAACACCCAAGTCTTAAATTTAATTTTACCTACTTTGATTCAATGTAAAAGAAAGAAAAGACGTTGATTGTAATTTTAAAATGTGGTTTGAGGATGATTTAGATTGCAAAGCCAAAGAGATTTCTTTGGAATTGCAAAATTGACAAAAATAAATACATGTAGTGAATTGTATATTGGTTTCAAAGAATTTAAGATTGAATGAGGTAATTTCTAAGTTAAAAAGTGAGAATTCCTAAGAATTTTTATTGAAATGGAGAATATCAAAATTGAGAATAATGCTTATAATAAAAAAACAATAGAAAAAAGATGGATGTGAAGAAACTAAGATGCATGGAGCGATCCAATCATATTTAGGTATTTTAACCAAGTAACGAAGTAAGCTTATTGGTCCAGATGGTTTTTAACTTCAAGGCATTGCATGCTGTCTCTTTCGATTTGATTCGACTATTATCATTGACTAAAAATATTGTTTTGAAAAAATCAATTTTTGTTTATTCTAATCTAAAAAGTTTCACATATCTTAATAAAAATTCAATTTACTTTAAAAAAAATTTTAAATTATTCTTAAAAATGGATTGAATTTTTCTTATCATATTTAAAAACTTTCACCTATTCAAAATATCAAAAATTGAATTTTTTTTAAAAAAGTTTTTGATCGATATTAATGGTCAAATAGTTTCGAGGTAAAAAAATGCATTTAAACCATAAGAAAAGGGATTCTTTGTGCATTAGGTAACGCGAATAGGTAACGCAATGGGATTCTTATCCCAAATTCAACTAATTAAATATTAATGGATAAATAGTTGTTGAAATGATGAGAATTAATTAATTCTTTTTTCAAAATAATAGGGATTGATTTTATAATTTACTCGAATAGGTAACATGATGGGATTTTAATCCTAAATTCAACAAATCATAAAAGGCTTTTATATCATGGTTTGGAACTTCATCTATGTTAGATGGATTAAATGATGAACCAGTTGCATTATATCATTATTGTGTGATATCGATTGACTTGAGGCTCATCAAATATTTATTCGAGTTAAACAAAATTTATCGAATTGTCACCATAATTAATCGACTCATTTTCTCCATGACATTTCCATACATAATACCTAGATATAAAATCATATCTCATCAAATAGTATTTAATGGTATCAAGATTTTCATAACTATGGTTTTGATATTTTTTAAGTTTACAAGGGCATTTTATCTTATTTTCGTCCATGCATTCTGGATTACTAACGGCAAAATTGATAAATTCATTAATCTCATCTACGAAACGTTGATTTAAAAGTCCATCCGTTAGTCTATAGTTAATCTATGAATGATCCAAATTCATTTTAAACTAAATGTAATTATTTTAATAATTAAATACTAATTTACTTCAATTAACAAATAAAAAACACTTGTTTAACAAATAATTAATTGATATTTTAATTAACTACCTAATTAATTATTCTAATCAATAATTAAATATTTTAAGGGCAAATGAATTGACTTAATTGAATAATTTAAAAAGGAAATTAACAACAAAATTAATTAAACCAATGCATAATTTTATAATTTTTAAAAAATTAATAATTTATTAATAAACTAAAAAAATTAATTAACAACCTAATTACATTTAAAAAACAATAATATAATAATTTAATTACTAACTAATGGACTTAATTTAACAATTACAAAACTAAATTAACTAGCAAATGAATGAAACTAACCTCGTAATTTTATAATTTAAATTAAATTTTATTAATTAAATTATAAACTCTTTATTTTCTTATTTAACTACCTTATTGATTCTTTTAAACACAAATTAAATAACCTAATTATAAAGTAATTGACTTAATTAACTACTACAAAACTTAAATAACAAACAAATTAATTAAAGTAACACGTAAATATATATATTTTGTATAGTATTTAAATAATATAATTCTAAAATAATTTTCTTAATTAACTACATAAGTAATTATTTTAAACAGTAGTTTAAAATTTTAATTACCAATTAATTATTTTTATTTTACTTAATGTAACAAATAAAAAATTTAATTACCACCTATATTTATAATTAAACTAAAAAATAATTAATTTCATAAAACAATTAAATAATTTATTTTTCCACAAATTTAATTAATGTTATTAACACGTAAATCACTTATTTAACAATTAATTAATTAATTAATTAAACTAAAACCTATTCAATTTTTTAAAAACAATTAAATTATTTAAATACCAATAATTTTACTTAATTTAATTAAAAACCAAATGAAATATATTTAACACATAATTTATTAAACTAACACTTAGATAATTATTTAAACAAAAACTTAAATTAATTAACAAATACTTATAATGATAAAATAGATTAAACTAACTAACAATTAACCAATAAATCACTTATTTAACAACAATTAACAATTAAATTCTTTAAATACCAACAAATAAAATTAATTAATTTCATTAACAATATATAAATAAAAATTATTTAACACATGCTATATTATACTAACACTTAAATAATTATATTAACAAAACATTAAATTAATTAACAAATAACAATTACGTATAACAATAAAATAAAATAAACTAACTACCAATTAACTAATTAACAATTAACAACTAAATGAAATTTATTTAACACATAATTTATTAAACTAACACTTAATTAATTATTTAACCACAAAATTTAATTAATTAATAGATAATAAATATTTATAATAATAAAATAATTTAAACTAAATAAAAATTAACCAATAAATCACTTATTTAACAACAATTAACAACTAAAATTTTTAAATACAACAAGTAAACTTAATTTCATCAACAACTATATAAATCAAAATTATTTCACATATTTTATTAAACTAGCATTTTAAAAATTATTTAAATAAAAAAATTATATTAATTAAAACAACAACAATAAATAATTAAACTAACTAACAAGTAACTAATAAATAATTAATAACAATAAAAATTACCAAAAAATTAAATTATTCAAAAAAAATGAAGAAAAAAACTTAATGTATGGATTACTAAAGAGGAACTACTTGTTAGCGTTGGTGTCCAAGATCCAACCATGTTTGGATAGGCTCGTTATTATATTATTGTATCATTTATTTTAATAATAATAAAGAAGTTACTCAATTAATTCTTATGTTTCCATGTTGATAAATTTAGTAGAATTAGATAAAATTCCTTATAATATGCATTTGTACTAATAATTGATCGAAAGATGTGAGACAAACACTAATGCATATAAATGACATCATTAAACATCCTAAGTTGTAGCATTGTCAAGAATGGATATTGACAAGATACGGATAGACTTGTGAATGCTATGCTCATACTATATGATAGTAGTAGGAGATCTCACACCTATTGACATGGTGATACCAAAGTAAGCATTTAGGTGATTTATGTTAGAGAACATATCATTGGACTTGACTCGTCATAAGAACCCATTTGGTTTTTATCTATGGGAATCTCATACGATATGGGTACAAATGATCCTTAGACTTGAAGTCGTCATGGTTATCTTATTGGAGGACTTATGCACTTTGACACTTTTTTTTATAAATCCATTAATGGGTTGCACGTGGGTGATTTGTTGGGTGCACTAAGAATCCAATTGAGATAGGTGTATGACTAAGATAGGACATATCATTCCTTATATGTTAAAAGAGTTATCACATTGCACTTTGATAAATGTCCGCTCAAGAAATCTGTGACCACGGTAGGAGTATATCGATATAGCATAGTTGGTTTACTCTAAGAACTAAGACATTTGAGAATTGAAAAAAACTTGTATGATCATAATCGAATAAGACTAATAACCAAGTTCGAGATCATACCGTGATAAGTTGACATGAGGACCGAATTGTATGGTAACCATGCTCTTGAAAGGTAATAATGGATTAACTAATCCTCCTAAATAATTGTGTAGTCATGATGTCTTGCTAGAGGCCAACCTTAATTTATGTATCAAGAGATAAAAGAGGAGTCCTTTATCCTTTATACGTTGCCAACATATCTAGGAGCGTATTAAGTCACACACATAAGTTTAAGTATTCACATTATAAATAAGAAGTAAAGATATTGAAAAATGTCTCCTATTATAAAAGTTTCCTATTTTGAAAAGAGTTTTCAAAAATGGAAAGTTTTCTATTTTAGAAATCGATTTTCTAATTTAGAAATGAGTTTTAAATTTGGAAATAAAGAACCTAAAATGAAAGAAGTTTCCTAATTTAGGTTAAAGGGTATTTTGAAAAATTATTTCCTAATGTGAACCATGCCAAAATAATCTAAGAATATTTATTTGGATAGTCCAAATAAATTAATTGAGCTAAAATAGTTTTGGCCTATTAGATTTAATTAAGAGCTTTGAGATAATTTTGATAGGAGGATAAACATCAACCTTATTGGATAAGGTTGAATGTTTTAAAGATAAACATTAACCTTATTGGATAAGGTTAATATTTTAAAGATAACAATCAAATAGTCCATATATAAAATAACTCTTTATTCTTGAGGGATAAAGAAATAATGACTCTAGAGTCCTAAAAGGACTTGTGGCCGCCCTCTCTTTGTCCTTGGATGACAAGGAAACTCTTCCTCTATATATATAGGAAGAGAGGTACGGCTCGGATAGTTTAATCAACCCAAAAGAGTATTCGGCCAAGTTGAAAGAAAAAGACAACATTCGGCCAAAGAAAGGAAAAAAAAAAAAAAAGGGAGCAAAGTTTCGACTAACCCTAAAACTAAATAGGGCACACGGCCAAGAGAGAAAAATAAGGAGAAAATAGTTTTCTTCTAAACCCTAACAAGAAATACTCTTGAAAATACTAAATCGAAAAAGATGGAGCTAGCACGCCACCGATTTTAAGTACTTCTTTGTGAATACTTGGATTGCGTGGATCATCAATAGAGACCGGACACTTGGATGACTTTTCCGAAAAGGAATTTAAAGGTAATCCTTTACTTATAACTTATTATTCATGTATGTATGGTTAGTAGATTCAATGGTTTGATCTTGGGGCCTTAGATGGAGGAACATTTTTGTTTATTCCGCACCTCAATAGGATGCACGATTCTTCATTGTTGACAAGCTAGAAGGGGGAGGGGCTGCCGTCGTGGAGGAGCTACTACCACGAAGAAGAGGAGTGAAGGGAGGAGGAGGAAAAGAGAGAAAGAAGAAGAAAAGGGAGGAGGAGAGAGGAAGAAGAAAAGAAGAGAAAGTAGGAGATTTAGAGGGAATTATTGGCAAGTTTGAGGGAGAAATTAGAGAGAGATTTCGGAGTGTGTAGCTGCTAAGGAGGAGAGAGAAAATTTAGGGGAAAAAGATAGGGGTAGTAGTATGTAGGGATTTAATTTTTATCGACAGTTTTGGTCCCATAGCTAAAATCATTGCTAAATTAGCTAAAATATTCAAAATGTGACCGTTTCCCTCCAATGATAAAAAATTAATGATGATTTTATAAAACCATCGCTAATTTTCAATAAAAATTATCATAATTTTTCTCCCAAATTTTAGTTTGGGATATTGAAGGATTTAGCAACGATTTTCATTAACCGTCACCAATATCCCTCAATTTACAAGAGATTTTAGCAATGATTTCCTAAAGCCATCGCTAAAATCAATGTATTAATTTGGAATTAGTGACGGTTTAGCTAAACCATCGCCAATTCTAAATTATTTACTTGGATTAGCGACCGGTTCAGTTAAATCATTGCTAAATTCAATGTTAATAAACCATCACTAATTTTTCTTTTTAAAAACGTATTTGCTACAATTGTATGAAAACCGTCGCAATTTAGTTTGTTGCAAAAACATCGTAGCTAATTTCATTTTTTCCGGTAGTGATTTTTTAAAAAATATTAATCCAAACCAGCTGGTAATATGGTAATCTTACATGAGTACCAGCTAACTTAACTTGAAAGTCGTGTGTGCTGGATCGTACGGACCAAAATCAAAATGATTTTTGGGCTATATATATATATATATATTAAGGAAGAGAAGAGGATATCAGATTATTGAACGGTTTATGTACTTGAAAGAAAAATAAATATACTTATATATGATGGTTATTAATCAAATTAACAGTCACACATTCGCTAACCATAACCAAAAGGGTATTAAGTTAATATTGATGAAGGAGATGTATTCTATCCTTGGCTAGCATGTATATCTTATGTTTGGAGCTGTACTTAAAATTCAATGGAAAAAGTTGACTTACCATACCCATTTAGCATTAAAAGGAAAAAGAAAATCACTATAATATCCTTAAACTCATGCAAAATAGTAGGATAATCCTCAAGTTTTTGCTTGATCTAAAAAATATTTCTACCCTCCAATAAAAGAAAAATGCAAAATAGTAGAAAAATGAAAAAGTCAGCATGATAGTTGAGAAGAGAGAGGAAATGGATGAATGATAGAAATGAAGCATCAAAATAAAGGCAATTTGAAAATAAAAAGATACTACGGTAAGACACTTCTATACTAATTTAATAAAAATTGATGAAAATATTAAGTTGTGGCTGGAATTAAAACGTAAAAAACTAATAATTAGTTTTGAAAGGATGAGAATTAATTAATTTTTTTTTCAAAAACAATAGGGACTGATTTATAATTTACTCGAATAGGTAACGCGATGGGATTCTAATCCCAAATTCAACTAATTAAATATTTTAAATTACGTAAGGTTGCGGGAACCAAAGGAAAATATATCTTATCTCTTCCCTCCGTTTCGCCACCTCACCTCGCCTTGATAGTTTAGAGAGAAATGCATTCTTCCTCAGTCTGTATTCCGATTTCACCATCTTCTCACTCACTCTTGAAACCAAATCACAATCCACTTCAGGGCTCGAAACCATCATGTTCACCTCTGAAAAGAAGAGCTTCTTGTTTGACTACTAGAGCTCTTCTCTCAACTACCAAAGAAACTGTGTTGAAGGAATTCCATGAACAGAGAGCTCTCAAGGTATAGCAAACCCCAACTACCTTCCTTGTTTCTTTTATTTCTCTTTTTTGGTTGTTCCATTTTGAAGTGGATCTTTTCCTCTGAATGTCATGGATTTTATAGCATCCATCTGATTCATGTTGATAACTTTAGTCATTTTTGTTTTGTCTTTTACAGATTATCTCTGGTTTGCAGAATTTTAATAAAGAGAATGTTGCTTCAGTTGTTACTGCTGCAGACAAGGTTATCGGTTGGCTTCACACTAATTTTATAAGTTTCCCTAGCAAATATCCATATAATTATGAACGATTTATTGCTTTGTATAACAAAGAAATTCATTGGTATCAGAGATAAGTTGCTACAGTTTTTTATTTTTTGGTTTTTATCTTCTTTTTGTGATCCAATATCATAAAAATGTGCAGGGGGAGCAACTCATGTGGATATAGCTTGTGACCCAGAATTAGTGAAGCTTGCCATTAGCTTAACTTCCCTTCCGGCAATACCTCTGTTCACTCTTTAGAAGGCTATAGCTTCATTCTTCTTTTTCTATCATATAATCACAGAAAACTTTCTAGCAATTTTTAGATTGTCTTCTAGCGATTACAAGTTTCTGTTCTTATTGCATTAAAAAGAAAAAGTATATATGCATTGAAGTAAATTCATGTGACCAGATTTCGCATGATTATGGATGAATATTGTTAGTGCCACAAACTTGAACAGTTGCACCCAACGAAAATTTTGAAACATACTGACATATTATTTCCCTTAAATTCCTGCTAACTTTCTGGCCTGAATGAGAATAATTGTTCTTTAAAACCGGATTCACCTGCTAAGTTAATTTACTTATGACCTATTTCCCAATCGTACTAGAACTACTTATTTGGGAATCAAGTCTCAATGACTATGAGTCTATGATACACAAATGCTTGTAAATTCTATTTTATTACTTTTAGATGTCTTAATTTACTGGAATATGTGAATTAGATGACGTTTAGGTGATTTTACCACATTACATCTTTCTTAAAGCTTACATGCTTTTCAAGTGAATAAATTAAAGCAAAATAGAAAAGGGCAATGTCATAGAAAAAAGCATTGAGTAAGACCTGCAAACCACTATTTGGCATCTTTCTGGGCTCAAAATTCTGACGTTAAGATATTTTACTGATTTATTTACACTATCAAACCTGTTGATCACTGCCCCACATCAAACCCGACGACCCTTTCCATGGCAAGATCCTGATGGAACTCCAAAAATGTTCAGAATCATACATGTGTATTGATAGAGCTCGAAACATGTTTTAAATCATATATGCCATTTTCTTTTTCTTTACTTGATTTGGAGTTCCCCCATTTTCAGGTTTGTGTTTCTTCTGTGGAACCAGCAGCATTTCTAGCTGCTGCTGAAGCAGGAGCACTGATGGTTTGATCACAAACTCATTTGCTTTCATTTTATTTTTGACATGCAAGCACTGATCTTTGACATCAATGGCTTCTTATGATGCCTTTGTAAGCCGATCAGATGCAAAATGAGAAAGCAATATGTTGCCATGTTAACAAGACTGATGGTCTGTACAGGTGGAAATTGGAAATTACGATTCGTTTTATGACCAAGGAACAATCTTCTCTCCAGAGCAGGTATCAACTCTTTATTTGATTATGAGAAAATATTTTCTTCATTTTCTAATTGATTTCTGGAGTTGAACCTTAGACTAGTCTGAGACGACTTCTTCCATATGCGCACAGCGTAACTCTTTGAACTGAAGAAATACATATATCCATTCTGAATTGAAGGTAGGATAAAAAGTAGTAAGATGGATGAAACTCAAATACATGTAGACTTATATTACTGATGTGACTTCAGAATTTACTAATACCTATATGGTACAGAATTTTACAAAAAGAATAATGCCACAATTAGAAGATCTGTTGCCTATTCTCTGCTACTTAGTACTTTGCGCAAACACTGTTGCCAATTTCAGGACTTTACAGTTCTCATTGTAGTCAATTATATCCACTATATTCTATCCTGTTCCCAACATTTGTTATTAGTCTCCAAAAAAAAAGCCAGAGCTGTTAACTTTTTCCGGTTCTCATTATCGTCAATTATCTCCACTATACAGTTTTGTTTCTGCATTCTTAGTTATAGAAGAAACTTGTGCAGATATTAAATCTGACGAAGGAGACTAAGAGGATCCTTCCATCTGTGACATTATCAGTCACTGTGCCTCACACCCTAAGTCTCCCTGATCAGGTAACAAGCAGCACTAATCTATGCTGGAAAGCAAGTAATTTCATTATTTGGTGCACTGATGTTATATATGGAAAACAGGTCAAGCTCGCAGAGCGATTAGAACAAGAAGGTGTTGACATTATACAGACTGAGGGAGGAAAATGTTCTAATCCTTCAAAATCTGGTGTTCTTGGTTTGATTGAGAAGGTAAAGCAAAACAATTTTGCACTGTTTATGGAACTATTGACAGTAGAATTATTGCAGAGAAGGGAAGGAAAAGAGGGAAGTGTTGATTTCATTACTCATCATTAAATTAATCAATTTCTCTTCCTCTCCCTCATTTCTGAGATCAAACTAAAATTAAAACCAATGATGGCTTGGAAACTGACTCATAAAAAGAGAACAAAAAAATAAATCAAGAGGAGAATTAAGCCCTGATGTACTTGTGCATCAGCAATGAACATATTGGTGATTATCTTGTAATACCTTAATGCATATCGACACCTCTTGATTAGATGTTGAAACTGCTAATGCGTTCAGAAAACAGAAGTTGGATTACTTTAATGAAAGTTTGTAATTAATAACATTATGACCTAGTTTTGATTGTCTATTTGTCCTTGAAATAATTCTGTTTTATTTTCTATTTTAACTGATCAATTTGCATTTCACTGCAGGCAACTCCAACCTTAGCAGCAGCATATTCTATTTCAAGGGCTGTCAAGATTCCTGTTATGTGTTCTTCTGGACTCAGCTCAGTTACAGCTCCAATGGCCATCACAGCAGGGGCAGCTGGTGTGGTAAGCAAATTAATTGACCCTCATGAATTGGATCATACCCAACTCTAAAAGTGTCATATATATAACTATTCCTTGTTCTTGAGAATGATGCTGACGTTAGTGTCGCCTTTGATACAGGGTGTGGGCTCAGCAATTAACAAGCTAAATGACGTGGTAGCGATGATTGCAGAAGTCAGAAGCATTGCAGATTCTTTAGGCATTTCAGCTTATAGATACACCTCATCTGAAGAAAAATCTTTGACATTGTAATTGGTACACATACTATGATTTAGGATTCGACACGAGTTGGTCAACTGAAGCATGAGTGGAATATCGATCAAAAGTTGGATGGATTGAACAGATGCAACCGTTATAAAATAATGTAGAAATCCAGCATCCTTAAGTTAAGGAGCATTCAAGACAGAGATATGATGGCCATCAGAAAGTTAACCCATTCTTCATATGGTTTTCTTTGGTAAACCCATTTTGCAAATGTTAAGTAGACATAATGACCACGGAATACTGCACAATGGGGCATCAGAACAATCGTGTAGGAAAAGCAAAGATAAAGCTCACCCATTTAACTAACCAGTTATAACAATGGAATCCACAACTCAACCAATGTTTGTCCTAGAATGTGTCTGATCTGGACGGACCAGGTCTATTCAATTATTTATCAAAATTATGATAGCTTGAACTGGTGTAATTTATTCCAAGGGGACGCTTGTGGCTAGCTGAGCCTTGCATAGCGCTGCCAAGGGTGCAACTCTAAGATGATCAGAATTCATGTAACATTAACCTATTTTATTCAACTGAAGTAACCTGAAAACACCTTCCCCATCTTGTTGGTTAGGAGGAGGCAACCATAGTCTGTATAGCCTCGTATCTTAGTTTCTTCCCTTCCTTCTGTACCTTTCTGTCATTTCACGTGTGCATTCTCATGATCTGCAGAGCCCTTATGGTTTGTTCCATTGATAGATTAGTTCGAGATCAGGCGCTCATAACTTGGTATGGTCTGCGTAGTCATTGGCTTTCCTACTAGAAGGCCTGTGATATAGCGGTCAGCCTTTCGAATGCCCCTCTTCCTCCTCCAAACCCGCGCGCCACCCCCACACCACCCCCCCCCTCCCCCCCCCTCTCTCTCTCTCTCACTTTTAAGAGAAGCCCTTTACTACTATAAAGGACAGATGTCTTTCACCTTTGGAAACTCGAAAGGTCAGGACACCTCTTATCTTTCCATTACCCTTCTTCTTTCCCGAAGTAGGAATGGAAGCTTTGAATGAAGTTCCTAGGATTGGTATCTACTTGCAGCATCTTCCAACCAATAGAAAGGTTTTATATGACTACTGAAAAACAGAAAGCTTTGCTACCAGATAGATGGCGCTAGCTTTCTAAAAGAGTGGAAGATCTTAGGTACGGCTTTCGCCTTTCCCATCCTATTTGAGTACATTGTCTGCTTCTCGCTTCATTGGCTTAGTCAGCTAGGGTTTCTTCCACTTCAAGGACCTAAGAATGAATATCCGATCCAGTTGACGGGACACTAATGACCTAAAGTAGACAAAGCTCATGAAAAAAGGAGCTCTTGGCTTCTCGCTACTAAGTCCCTCCTTGGTAATGTTTTTTTCTAATTCCGAAATCAGACTCTTTCTCAAGAGCCCACAGAGACTCGATCGGCCAGACAGTTGGGGTCAAGGACTACTACTTTCTAGCCAACTAACCAATCAAATTGTCAGAATGCATGTTTACCAAGCATCGAGGGGCAAACATGGCATGCTGCTAGCAATTAAAAAAAAAAAAAAACCCCTTCTGTGCAGATCTCTCTGCAGACTTCTGTACAATCATCTATTCAATCGTTTTTTATTTTTTCAGATATCTATTTAATTGTTGATAATAAGTTCAATCTAATTTTACAACAACAAACTTTACTAGAACATCAAGAACAAAAGATACTAGGTTTTAAGAGAGCAGATACAGATTGAAAAGGAAATTGCATATAAACAATCAAGAACAAAGTACATGCATCATGATTTGTCAGTCGAATCTGCATTGTGATCACCTAGACGCAATTGCCATATAGTAATTTACACCAAAATGATACAGGCATGGACAATTTCAGTGGAAAGGAGGACACAGAAGTGGTTCGCAAGTTGATATACAATTTTTCCCTCATGTACCTCCTACTCCTAGTGAAACAATGGTTTTCAAACACAGCCTTTAACTCTACTCATCAAACTCAGATGCATCCTCAGAGTCCTCATCTTCACCACTTTCCTGCAGTAAAATACTTGTTTAAGGAAAACTATATAAAAATGGCAAAGAGGTGATAATGTTGATAACCAACTCCCCGGTTACAGAGGAAATAATAACAAGTTTACCTTTCTCTTAACATATTCCGCCATGGCTCTATCAAACTCTGCTCTCTTCCCTGTAGCTATGTCATAATATTTAACCTTTTCCTGTCACAGGTAGGGAAGGAAGTTAAAAGGTAATTCTAATGTCAGATAGTCATAAGAATCTTCTATATTTAAAGATTTAACTAGGAACTAAAATCAGATTATGCTGTGGATGGAGTCAGAGAGGTGCAGCGACTAATTCTAGGAGGAACCTGAAATTATGTTCAGGTAAATCAGGCTTTGATGGCTAGATTTGGATCAGAGTTGAAACAGAAGAATTTAGAGTTGCTTGAGAGCGATGTTAACAAAAAAAGAAGAGAGAGTGCAATGCAGAAGATCAGAGGAAAAAGGAGCACAACAGCAGGCGAACATACATCAAAGTGAAGTTTTCAGGTTATATCAAATGTTTTCCATTTCATCAAAAACATACTAAGGTGCAAAGGGGTTGTGGTCAACAGACACCAATGAACCACTGATTGAAGCCAAAAAGTCAATGATCATAAACCTGCATTACTTTGCACCCACAACATCCAAATCAAAAGATAGTTCCTATTGAGATGCTAATCTATGTTTGGAACAAAGTGACATTTTCTATAAACTGAGACTTAAAGGAAAGCTATGAACTAAAATGAACATACCTCATAGGTCATTGTTTTCCACTTCTCTCCACATGCCTTGCCAACCTGAAAAAGAAAAGATTCCACAGTTCATTTACATTAATCACTAAATCAGAGAAAGAGACCAAGCAAGAGAGAGAGAGGCGGCTGAATTGACAAACAAGTTAACTGATAGTTATCATCACAAATATACGTACCTCACGCATTGACTTAACATCTGGATTCTGCTCTTGGAATTCCTTACGGAAATCCTCTCTTCAGGAATCAAAGCAAAATTCAATTATCAGGTGAACATAAAATTTTACCAGTTTTACATGGATTAAAAAAAAAAAAATCCTATCTAGTTTACAGGAATAAGTTCAACTGGTTAACAAAGAACGCTTTCCATAACTTTAAAATAAAGCTTAAGTGTCATAATTAAAAACAATAATAATAGTACGTAAGGTGAACTGTAACAAATTAACCTCCAGGTTTTCACAGGAAAGAGAGATGAAATCCACAGACCAAAGTGGCAGGTTACTCCTCATTAATACTGCTGAAATAGCTGTCTAGCTTGGGCAAGACTAAAAATAATAAAGTAATAAATTTACCACGCAACATTATGGAGCTTAGGTGCAAGTGTACTTGGATCACTCTGCATGGAATTTACCCTTATCGTTGAACATAATGACACCAAAGATAATTACAAGGAAAGTCACATTGGCAGTAAATTTATGTTTTGTTGTCTAATTGCATCTTTTCATTTTCTATGTAAGAATAAAAGGTAGGATGAATAAAAAACTTGAAAATAGCCCCATAGCCTGTGAGCATACTGAAAAAAGAGTTGTAACCACCACAAGAATGAACATAACCAAAACAAAAAACAAAGAAAATTTTCAACAATCCTATTCCAATAATGTTGGTAACCAGCTTAAACCAATACGTTAATATTCTCATTAAGTTGCTCAGCAGCCAACCACTAACCAAACCTAAATAAAAAAAGATCATGACAAGAAAAATAACAAAAGCACTAAGAATTAAAAAAAAAAAAAAAAAAAAACAAATCACTTACAAGAAGTAAAAGAAAGCAGTTGGAGGTTTCTTGGGCTTTCTAGCATCAAATTTCTCATTTTTCTTCGTCTTCCGCTTCACGTTCTTCGGCTTCGTTGTTGACTTTGGTCTCCTCTCTTTCTCACTACTAACCACACTCTGCTGCCGTGAAGACCTCTTCGAGATCTCATTGGACCTTATCCTCAACACCATTTTTCCCCTAGAAATGGAAAAGAAAAACAATCGATGTTACAACCAACAAAAAACTCCATTAGGCCATAATTATAAATGTTCAAATTTCCATAACTTGAAATCAAAAGGGCAAAAAAAAAAAAGGTCAAAAAGCTGTAATAAACTGAACATGAACACATATATTCAACAAATATTGTTCGTAGAAGAAGTGGGTTTCCATAGAAAAGAGACCCACAACACCCAAAAAAAAAAGACAATTATTTTATGGCTTTCATCATTAACAAAACAAAGAACATGTAAAAGAAAAGCAAATGATGTAAAAGAGAAGAAACCCAGAAAAGAGGGGGGAAACAGAGAGAGTTGAGAAAGTTGGTTTTACTCTTTAGAGACTCTTTCAGAAGAGGTCGAGGAAGCTATAGAAGAAGAAGAGCGAGATTTCTTGGATTTTGAAGCTTTCTTTGCCATTTTGGTTTTTCCTTTTCAGGGCTTTGTTTCTTTCTTGCCGTTCTTCTTATTCTTTCTTCAATTTTTCTTACAACGAGACCAAAGGTTTGGTTTTTTGCTTCTGCGATGGGGCCGTTCTTTCAGTGGATTAAAACGCTGCGTTGTCGTCCAGATTTTTCCTTTTCTTTTTTTTTCTTTTTTTTTCTTTTCTTTTCTTTAAATAACCAAAATTATAGTTCAAGTTTGTTTCTTTAATTATCGGTCATGAGTAAATTATTCTTTAGTCCCTCATTTGTGAACAAGATTATAACTTAATTACTTATGTTTAAAAACATATGACTTGGTCCCTTGACTCTAGTTAACCATTGCCTCGTTAAAACAGCTTTCGATTTTTTCTTAACCCTAATTTAAGTTTTTACAGTAAAACCTACATGATGGGAGTTTAGGGGGAAGAGAAAAATCAATTGACTTCGTGAAAAGACAATGATTCATAAAAATAAGAAGACTATGTTATAATTTTGTTTATTTTTTTATTTGTATATTACATGAAAAACTGAATCAATGTGGTTTTAAGATAGAGAAATTAATTTAAAAAAATTAACCAAAACTTTTGAGTAAAAATTTTTCACAATATATTTTTTATTAATTATTTTTGTTTAAACCAAATTAAAAATTGTGTTATAAGCTTTTAGGTAAAGGATTGGTTATGTTTTTGAAAAGATAACAATCATCCAAAAACATTTTTTCTTAGAAAAGATTGTCAAGTTTAGTTTAATCCTAAAAATATCTCCTAAAAATTATATTTGTCAAATTATTTCCTAAATCTATTTTCAATTTTATTTATCATTTAGATCAAATAATTTTTTTTATTTTCTATTGTGACATCGTATTAAATTGACATCGAACCCCAAGAATAAAAGTCACTTCAATTTAATATCAAATCCAATTATGTCCCGACATAACTTGTATGTTGAAGAACACCATAATTAGCTAAAGGTGTTTAAATTGATTTGTATTTATCCTAGCTAATTTTCTCCGTTTTATTTTATTTTTATGATTTTTTATTGAGAGTCAAAACTTATACTAGTCTCTATTTAAATAAGATACTCATTAAGTCAACTTAAATTTTCTAAGTTTCCAAGAAAATGTGTTCTTTTCTAATTGCAAACTAAATTAAATATGAGATCGTCATCAATTCCTATAATTTAGAAGACTTGACGATCTTACATCTAGCTAAATGAATTTAAACTTAACTAATTAACAAGAAAATTGAATTATAAACATTATATAACAAAAAATTATGAAACAAAAAATATAATTCAACAAAAATTTACAGACAACCTATATATATATATATATATGACTCCTAAAAATTTCAAGTTAAAATGAAATTGAAAACTAGACCAAATAATTAAATTCCAAATCAAATCTCCCTAATAATTAACATAACAACATAATAAATAAATTAAAAAGAAATTTCAAATGGACCCGCAAAATTACAAAATTTAAAACACAAGTTAAGGACAAGTATGTGTACAAATTCTAAAAAAATCAGATTCAAATAAAATTGGACACTGGACCCAATAATTAAATTTTGAAATAACCCACACTAATAATTAAAATAACAACAAAATAATAATTGAATTACAAATAAATAGCAAATAGACTTCTAAAATTACAAGGTTTAAAACACAAACTAAGGACAAGCATATGCATTAACCATAAAAATTTCAGATTTAAAATAAATTTGGACACTATATCAAATAATTAAATTTTCGAAACAACCCACGTTAATAATTAAAATAATGATAAAATAATAAATAAATAGAAATTAAATATGAAATGGACTGTTGAAATTATAAAATTTAAAACACAAGCTAAGGACAAACATATATACAAACTCTAAAATTTTCATATTAAAAAGAAATTGAACACTAAACCAAATAATTAATTTTTTCGAAACAAAACACACTAATAATAAAAATAATAGTAGAGTAATAAATATATTACAAATAAATATCAAATGGAATTCTAAAATTAGAATATTTAAAAAATAAACTAAGGACAAGCATATGTATAAACCCTAAAAAATTCATATTAAAATAAAATTAGACACTAGAATAAACAATTAAATTTTCAAAACAACCCACGATAATAATTAAAATAAAGACAGAATGATAAATAAATAGAAAATAGACTCCTAAAATTACAAAATTGAAAACATAACAAATAGGAACAAACATATGTGTAAACCCTAAAAATTTTAGATTAAAAAGAAATTTAATATTAGACCAAATGATTAAATTTTCAAAACAATCCATATTAATAATTAAAATAATGATAAAATAATAAATAAGTAGCAAATGGACTCCTGAAATTACATAATTTAAACACATGCAAAGAAAAATGAATAAAGACCGACACTAACCCTAGAATTTAAAACTCTATCAATTTCACTCTCAAATCCTTTCACATTAAGAACCCAATTGCAAAGACTTTATACCTGTAGGACTATAATTTAAACACAAAACATAAGCTTCTCTCTATATTTAAACACAAAACCCAATAATTTCATGGCTTCCTTTAATAACAATAAAATGTCCCCTTTTATTTTTTATTTGTGCAGGTTTGAGCTTAAAAAAAGTCATCTTCCCCATCACATCCGTGTAAACTTTAAGCTAAAATTGTTTTTCACCCAAATATTTCAACCTAGGATGGATTTTTTTTCAGAGAGAGAAAGAAAAGCCATGGAAGAACGTTTTACCTCTTGGAGCTTGTACGGTTAGAAAAGGATGGTGCAACACTGATGAAAACTCAAGGTCAAACTCCTCTTTCCTTCCCACCACGAAGAAAAAAGGATTTTTGAAGCAAGAGAGAGGAGAAACAATAGCGCTAGACTAAAAAAAAATGCTGTAATTATCGTAGAATAGATATGGGCCGAGATAGAGAGAGAAAAAATGTTGAATCGGCTTCAAGAAATAGAAAAACAGCTTATAGATGACGACATGGAGCTAAGAATCTCATTAGTTCTTCTTGTAATAATCCAATTTTTCCTTCACTCACTTCATTATCTTCATCCATGTCTTCAACGCTTATAACTTTGGTTTCAAAACGACTGTAATCGAAGCAACATCAGCAATTTACAAAGGTAAAACTGATGTTTACCTTGAGATATTGACTCGTGTGTCTGAGTTTTCATTGTAGTTTTTTCTTCTTTTTTTTTTTTTGGAGTTTGTGCCTTTTCTTTTTGTGTTTTTTTTCTCGAGAAAGTGGACTCGCGAGAGAAAAACAATTTGTTTGATCTTTGAGAAAATGATTGGATAGAAGAAATGTGCACTTTGTTGTTTTGTTGAGCAATACTTATTTGCGTGCTTAATTGCTTTCTTTGGCTTTAATTTTTAATTATCTTTTTGGGATTTTTTTTATTTTCTTATTATTCCTTGAAAAGAAAGAAAGTGGGTTGAGGCTTTTTTTGTAACGTCTGTCGCCCAAAACGCCATATTTGAAAAGTCATAGTTGAATGGATCGCTATTAAAATCATTATCCTTTATTATCCTTAAACCTTATTCCAATTTAATCTTATTCGTTATTAAATATGTTAATTAAAACTTGTAATTAATGTTATAACCATATGATCATTTCATCAATATAGCAAAAGCATTTTGTTAAAATTTCATCCATATTCTATCTTAACACCATTACTACAATTCATCATTAAATTCTAAAAACATCATTCATCATTATTCAATATTTATAAATAACTTTGACTTATTTTCATACTTAGTTACTAAGTAATAATTTCCAATATATAAAATCTTAATATTCTTGTAATTAATATTCATATAAGCATTCATAAATTTTAAACAATCATACATAAGCTCATGTCCATTCATTAAAACATAACACATTTATCATTTTTTTAGAGATATTCAAGGATAAGCATATGTGTAACTAGTTATTAGAAGCAACATCAACATTCTCAATATTTATATTGATACCCACACTATAGGATCGATGTGAGATACAAATATCTTAATAAATGTAACATGCATAATTTCATATTAAAACGTTTTATTACATGAATACACATATATAATTTTTTTTTAATTTGAGCCCCCTAGAAGATGCTAGCCCAGTGCATCATAGCCCTTAAGTTTGACTTTTCCTCTATGAGTGAGTAGTCTCACTACGGCGACTAGGCTAGTAGGTTAAGTCTCAATGAAAACATAAAGTTACATTAACCTTAATATTTAACGATCAAACTTCGACTTGTAAGCCTCAACATTTAAGCTCGATAAGCAACCTCAACATTAAAACCTTAGCATTTAACCTCAACAATTAACCTTAATGGCTAATCTTTACCTTTAACATTAAAACCTTAACACGCATTCAACATAGTTTATGCCATAAAATATCATTTACATACACACCTTGTTCATTTACTTAAAAATATTTCATTTCATCATAGTCAATATGTAAAACATATAAATTCATATGAATACACCTCAAGATTAATCACATCACATTATTCACATTAAACATATAATATCTATGTTTATAGTATATGCGAGTTACACTTATATGATTTGCTTAATACTATTGCTCACCATAACATTTCTCTAACAAGTTGGCACTTCAACTCGATTTAATACCTTAAACATACACATCATTTAATATAAGAAATTACAATTCATTATATAACTCTAATATTTAATTTTATTGATTCTTGTTCTTTGTCATAATTTCGTTTCTATTATATTTAGTATGGTAATTACCTATTAATTACTTATATCCACTTATCCAATTGTGTTTCATCTTTCTATTAACATTTGATTTCATATCTCGTTATCAAATTCATCAATTAAATCCCAATTTCATAATAAATTCTATTCTAATTCACTCAATTCTCTTTTTCATTTATATTTAATTGTATTCCTTTAACCTATTTTTTTATTTTTTTTCAATTCCTGAGCTCGAACGGTTGGGTTTACAAAAATATCTATTGCATTATAAAAACTTGCCAGTTGAGCTTCTTCTAATGGCTCTAAAAGTAGCGTATTGGCCTTAAGATCTTTGTAACTTATGATTAGAAAAAAAAAAAAAAACTTGATAAAGATTTAATTTTGCTGCAAGTTGAGACATAATAAAAAAAAAAAAGGAGAAAAGAGGAGAGAGAGAATAGCTTCTTTTTTTTTAAAAAAAAAAAATTTGTACCATTTAAAAGTTTAATCTAACATAACATGAAATGTGCTATTTTTTTTTTTTTGGGGTCATATTTCACATTTGGTGAAAAATTGATGGAAACAGTTAGAGAAGATACATTAAGAAAAATTCAAAAATAGATTAAATTGATAAATTAAAAACAACCCATACAAAAACTATATTAAAGGGAAAAAAAAATTGAAGTGCGATTCAAAATAAATAAATAGTTGGAGAAATGGCACCCTCTTGGATGAAGGAATTAAGCCCTACATTATACATGACTGTGGGCACGTGTAAAAGTAAAATCAAACCTTAAAAAAAAAAAAAAAACGTGGCATTGAATCAGGAAAAAGAAGGAGCCATTTTCCATTTATTACTTTATAATAACCAAACGAAACCAAACCATCCCCACTGGTTTTAACTTGTAAACAAGTTTGCAATTTCCTCTCGTGACTCCCCTACTACAAACACAAGCACTTCGTTATCATCGCCCTCTCAGAATTTCTCTCAAAAACTAAGAGTCAGCCATGCAAGCCTTGCAATCTCATTCTCTCCGTTCATCTCCCTTAAACCCACTTCAACAAATACCTCACAATGCAACGAAATCCCCACCTCAAAGACTCTCATTTATCAAAGCATCATCATCTTCATCCACTCATAACTCTACTGTTTCAGCTCCTAAACGAGAAAAAGACCCTAAAAAGAGGGTTGTTATAACGGGCATGGGATTGGTCTCTGTTTTTGGTAATGACGTCGATGCTTATTATGATAAATTGCTTGCAGGTGAAAGTGGGATTGGACCCATTGACCGCTTCGATGCTTCTAAGTTTCCAACCCGGTTCGGTGGGCAGATCCGGGGTTTTAGTGCAGAAGGTTATATTGATGGAAAAAATGATAGGAGGCTTGATGATTGCTTGAGGTATTGCATTGTTGCTGGCAAGAAGGCTCTTGAAGATGCGGATCTTGGAGGGGATAATCTATCTAAGGTTTCCTTTTTCTTGTTTTTTTCTTCTGGGTTTTATTTATTTTGATGTTTTGCTTGGTGGGTTTTCTTTTCTTTCCTTCTTCTTCATTTTTTTTTTGTGCGTGGATCTGATGGTTGTTTTTATTGGTAATTTTAAGAATAAGTGAACTTGCATTGGCTATTGTTGTTTCTATATGTTTTAGTTGCTAATTTTATATAATAAACTGAGTGTCTCTACCAAAATGGTGAAGATGCAGGACAAAATCAACCAATCTTGAATGCTTCGTTATATATATGCATTTTTAAATAAATTTGAATTGAATTGTATGTGGGGTCGGATTGGATTTGGCAGTTGGCTGCTTGTTTGTTTGTTTCATTGATATTGAAGAAAGTGTATGTACTTTCCTTTGCTGAAGCCACTGACTTGCTGGCTGTTGTAATGTATGTTTGCAGATTGACAAGGAGAAAGCTGGTGTGCTTGTTGGAACAGGGATGGGTGGTCTTACAGTCTTTTCTGATGGTGTCAAATCTTTAATTGAGAAAGGACACAGAAAAATCACCCCATTTTTTATTCCTTATGCTATAACAAACATGGGTTCTGCCTTGCTTGCAATTGAAGTTGGTTTCATGGGTCCAAATTACTCTATTTCAACTGCTTGTGCTACTTCTAATTATTGCTTCTATGCTGCTGCCAATCACATTCGCCGAGGTGAGGCGGATATGATGCTTGCTGGTGGAACAGAAGCTGCTATCATTCCTATTGGTTTGGGAGGTTTTGTTGCATGCAGGGCCTTATCCCAAAGAAATGGTGATCCAAAAACTGCATCTAGGCCATGGGACAAAGATCGAGATGGTTTTGTTATGGGTGAAGGTGCAGGAGTGTTGGTAAGCTTGTGTCTATTTCAGTGCTAAGGATGGATTATCTTTTAGATTTTAAGCTTCTCCATCTGTTTCCTTTTTTTTTTTTTTTCCTTTCCTGTTAAATATATCCTTTTTTGATACTGTGCCGGCCTGTCATAAATGATGGAATGAAGTTCTTCTTGAATGTTCATATTTTAATAAGACTTTGCACTGTGAGTTGGAATTTAAAAGTTATCTGAAAGGATTTGTGTGGTTTTTCTGGTAGGTAATGGAGAGTTTGGAACATGCAATGAAACGAGGTGCACCAATCATTGCTGAGTACTTGGGAGGTGCTGTTAACTGTGATGCTTATCACATGACTGATCCAAGAGCTGATGGTCTTGGGGTGTCTTCATGTATTGAGAGAAGTCTTGAAGATGCTGGTGTGTCGCCTGAGGAGGTACCTCTCTTTGTTTTCTGATGACTATATCCTCATTTTGTGTTTTGTATTTTTATTTTTATTTTTTATTTGTATGGTAGTACTACTCTGGTGGAATATATCACAGTTGTTTTACATTTTTAGCGGTGTGGTTTTTAAGCTGTCATGTAATTGTTTCCTCTGGTATACATTTAATGCTTGTCCATGCTATCTCTAGAAGTCTATCATCTGTAACTTTTGTTATGTATGTGATGAACACCAAAGCACACTAGAGTGAATAGAAAGTGCCAAGATACATGCTTTCAATATCAACAACAATAATATCAAAAGTATAGAACTAGAAGTTATACACAAGTCTAGAGCTCGCTGTTGATCCATTTAGTCGTTGAGCACAAGTAGTCCTTGCATCCCATGTTCACAAGCAATTACCAAAGACATATTTGGCCCTTAGGTGTTGGCAGGTTGCTGGTATGGTTGGAGAGTCAGACTCAAAACTTCTCTGTTGGGGATATTGGAGCTACTCTCACCCTTGTTTAGGCAAAAAATGCAAACTTCATACATGAACTTATAAGTGTTATTGCTCAATGTAGTATGCCAACTTCTAAAATTGCATTCTATATGTTTTAGATTGTATGTCCATTAACTAGCTGACCATTTAGCCATCATTCCTAAACACGGTTGCTAACATGAAAGTTGATGTTCCATCCATGTAAACTACCTTCAATACCAAATGCCATTTTAACCACTTTTCTTTTTGTTTTGTTTTTTTGTAGAAAAAGAAAAGAAAAGAAAAGAACATCAGATTTCTGTTGGTGTCTTACACTGCAGGGGTAGTTCTTTCACCCATCTACGATATGGATTCTTAAAAAATAACTTCCATCCAAATCTCTGTTTCCCCACCTTTTCTGAGTGCTTCTGTATTGAGTTTTGCCTTGCTGCATCGCTCATGTTAGAGAGTAATATAAATTATATTATTGGGTCTTACTTAATAGCTTAAGCTTTTAGATGAGATGGTCCTTTAACATGATATCGTAGCTTAGTTGACGAAGAGATCTTGAGTTCAAGTCTCACCATCTTCAATTTCTCAAATATTAAGCACAAGGCAATGTGGATCAGTACAAGTTTCAAGTACATATTGAGGCTTTCACTTGAGGGGGTGTATTAGAGAGTAATATAAATTATATTATTGGGCCTTACCTAACATCTTAAGCTTTTAGGTGAGATGGTCCTTTAACATCTCACAAGAGAATGTCTTCTTATCCTTGTAATTTCTTATGCACATTCTTTCACGGTTAATAAATTATTGTAAAACCTTTAAGCATGAGATTGTATTTCAAAATGTAGAAACCTCACTGTTGGATAGGATACTGTAGTTTGTGTGTGTGTAAAGGTGTAGTATTTGGTTCTGTATTTCTTTTGTGGAACCATGCTTTGCGAATTGTTTATTTGAATTTATCCTACAGTTTATCATTGGCCTTTTGGGTGTTTGGATATCGACAAAGATTTTAAAATGCTGGCGGTTCAAGGGGAATGATGGTTAAGTGAGCAACTTTGGAGTTGAATTTTTCCCCCTATATTTGTTTGGCTTTATATGCTTGGGAAATCAGGAGTCCCACTGATAGAAATGGAGGAAAGTTGTGAGCTCAGACGAGAAGAGAGATTTTTTTCTGTAATTTTTTTTCTAAAATTATGCTGGGTGATGTGGTGATTGATTTTAAGTTACCATCTTAATGTTGTCATTCACCTTAGCAGGAATGGGAAATAAACACACATCCGATCTAGTTATATAGCCTCTTTGGTTTTCTTAACTTTAAGATTTCTATTTGAATTTTTTGATTTAGTTTTTCCTATTTGAGTATCTAAATCGTATAAAATTTTCTAATTTAGTACTTCCTCTCCTTCTGCAAATTCCCTTTTGATTACTGACATGACAGTGGATTGAATGCTCATAATGGTAGTTGAGACACAGAGAAGGTTGAGACAAGTTACTTGTTGATGATGAAACTCAACAAGTTCATGCACCGAGTTTGGAATCTTTCTCTTCTTCTGCACTTCTTCAATATATGAATGCATAGTAAAAATCTGTTGTTGAATTCTCTATATCACTCTTTATTGAATTAGAGATAAAAGTTAGGGATATTATGGAAAATGTACTTGGGTGATTTAAAGAGCAATCAAGTTGCAAATGAATTGGAAATCACACCAAAACTTATGCTAAATGTTTCTTTTGGTAAATCCATTTCACATCAAATCTGTTTTGTTCTAAATGCATAAATCAGCAAAGACGAATTCAACTTCAATTTCTTTTCATGGGGTCCCAAGTAGCTGGAAAGGATATATTGGTTTAGTCTTTAAATGTACTTACTTAATGCCATCATGAGTGTTCTCTTCTTTTTTTTCCCCTTTCTGAAAAATAGAAGGCTGCTCTTGCTGTTGGTGGTGGTGGTGCTATTGCCAGCAATTAATCTAGTGCATTAATTTTTCAGGTTAACTACATTAATGCACATGCAACTTCCACTCTTGCTGGTGACCTTGCTGAGATAAATGCAATAAAGAAGGTATTCAAGAACACTTCAGAGATCAAAATCAATGCAACCAAGGTAATCTTCCCCTGCCACCCCTGCCACGCTTCTTTGAAGTTTGATCATGCATGCTTTCTCCAACCCATTCCAAGTTTTGAATGGAGAGGGCTATGATGGTATTCTCTTCCAATGGGTGGCTGATGTTATATATGGTTCATTTTGTTTCAGTCCATGATTGGACATTGCCTTGGTGCTGCTGGAGGTTTGGAAGCAATTGCTTCTGTGAAGGCCATAACAACGGGATGGCTGCATCCTAGTATTAACCAATTCGTATGTGTCAGATCATTTCTGAGTTTTGATTCCATAACTGTGTGGTGCTTTTAGATGTATTTTGTTTAACCTAACTTGATTGTCTTGTGACTGTGCCGCATTCTTTTCTGACTGCAGAATCCAGAGCCCTCAGTTGAGTTTGACACCGTTGCCAACAAAAAACAACAACATGAAGTGAATGTTGGTAAGATAGCGAAACCTTTCAATGTGGAATTTTGATTTTCGATGGCTTAAAAAACAAAGTCTGAAGTTGTTTGCTTGAATCATGTCTGTCTACAGCTATTTCAAATTCTTTTGGATTTGGTGGACATAACTCAGTCGTGGCCTTTTCTGCATTCAAGCCTTGAGCATCTGACCTTTCTGCTTTGCTTTTCATGCATTCAAGGCCGAGCATCCAGCTTTTCTGCATTTCTTGTAGGGGATCAGTCTTTGCTTAGTCGAGATATGCTTAATTTATTAGTCAATGAGGCTCCTTCTTCTTTAAATTTGAGCTGATGCATATTTCAACTTCCGGCCAATTGTAGTAGTTACTCGTTGAATAATTTTGAGTTGACCTACAGCTTGAGGTTTATGGATCTTTTTATTTTTAATTAATTTTCACTTTTTATATGCCGTTGCTGAACTTTTTGAACATACGAGGCATGTAATTGTGCAGCTGATAAAAGAATGCCTGCAAGGGTTGTCTGCTTTACAACTGTCAGCGTCAGGTTATTTTATAACTCTGCATGTAATGCATTTGTCCGTGTTGGAGGGTTAAATTAAATCTTTCTTCAGAATCATACAGGATTTTCTGGTTTCTAAAGGCTTGGCGGTTGCATACTTGCATTGGATTGGAGGTGCTATCTGTAATCTGTCTTTAGAATCATACAGGATTTTCTGGTTTCTATATTGCACCATGGAACCTGAGTAAGGAGACATGTTAATGTCACCCTTCCCCTGAAATATAAAAACTAAAAACTAATAGGCTGCTGTTTTTTTTTTTTTCGCTCTCAATTTCTTAGGAACATAAACAGAAAACCTGGAGGTTTTGATTTTTCTTTTTTCTATTGAGAAAAAAACCAAAACTAAACGCCATTTGGTTTGATTTTGAAAAGGTTTGACAATCTGTTATTAGTTTCTTATGTTTATGAAAAAACAACAAACAAGTTTTTGAACGTTAAAACGATAACAAAAGACCCTTAATTTGTCAAAGGAAAGGAAAGAAAAGGGCAAAAAAAAAAAAAAAAAAAAAAACAAATACACAGCCAGATATTTCATGTTTGTTAATATATATATATATATATATTTGGGTGGTGGGTGTTGCTTTATGCAGTATTGGTTTTACCATGTTATTATTGGTAGTGGACCAAAAGAAAGGCCCATGTGTGAAGGAGATGCAGCTATTCCCTAGCCTGCAAACTACTTGTTCTTTTTTCCCGCCAAACCAACCACCTCGTTCCCGCCATAATCACACTACTATAGTCTAGGGTGGGTGCAAAAACAAAAGGAGTCTTGTCCCACCTTCATTTCATTTTCATTTTCCTTTCCTTTCCTTTCCTCTGGTGGAAGAAGTTATTGCAGTGAATATGGAAGACAGGAGCAGTCACAAGCGAGCTTTTTTGGATTTCTTAGATCAAAACATTTACAAGGATGAGATCAAAGCCATGATCAATCACAAACGTCGCCGTCTCATCATCAACATCTCCGATCTCCACTCTTTCCAGGATTTTGGTCCCAGGTGTCTCATCTTCATCTTCATCATCAGATCTATCCCTTTGTTTTCCCTCTTGTTTAGCCTTCACCTATTTCTGGGTTGCTTTTTAAGATTTTCATTTTGGTATTTTAATTTCTTTGATTAGGATTTTGCGAAACCCTAGTGAGTATATGCAAGCATTCTGCGATGCAGCCACTGACACTGCTCGCACCATTGACCCAAAGTACTTGAAGGAAGGAGAGCAAGTTCTTGTGGGTTTTGAAGGTCCTTTTGTTTCTCGCCGCGTCACCCCTAGAGAGCTTCTTTCTGAATTCATTGGCTCCATGGTTTGCGTCGAAGGCATAATCACCAAATGTACCTTCACCTCACTCTCTATAATTGATCTTGTTTTCTGCTTTCACTTTGGATGTTTTTGATGGATTTGCTTCATTTATTTTCTATCTAGTGGTAGGACTAGGTAGCATTTAGCCAGGATATTTTAGCACATTTGCAATTAAAGGTTAAGCCAGCCCTTATAATGTATATGAATATGATGTCTCGTTTCAATACTTTGACAAAGAGGATTCTAGACATCCTTAAGCTTAAGTCTAACCTGCTAGTCTTCAATTTTAGGTTCTCTTGTAAGGCCAAAGGTTGTCAAAAGTGTTCACTTCTGTCCTCAGACCGGGAGCTTAACTACTCGTGAATATCGGGACATTACATCTAATGTTGGTTTGCCCACGGGCTCCGTGTATCCTACAAGGGTATTCTCAAGTCCTTAAATTTTCGATGGTTTGTCATTGTCAAAGGAAGGTTTTTCATAGAAATTTATTTTCTTCAGGATGAGAATGGCCGTTTATTGGTTACTGAGTATGGATTGTGCAACTACAAAGATCATCAAACCTTGTCGATGCAAGAAGTTCCTGAGAACTCAGCTCCTGGTCAGCTTCCACGCACTGTGGATGTCATAGTTGAGGATGATTTGGTTGACTCCTGTAAGCCTGGTGATCGAGTGGCTATTGTCGGGATTTATAAAGCACTTCCTGGGAAGAGCAAGGGCAGTGTGAATGGAGTGTTCAGGTAGGTCCAACCTTTGAACCATGTGTATCATACCGGAAATTGGTTTTCTTTTTTCTCTTTATGGCATAATGTTTTATGGTTTGAAGCTTGACAAAGAGATATTGATGAACAGGACTGTGCTCATAGCCAATAATGTTTCCTTGCTCAACAAAGAGGCAAATGCACCAATTTACAGTCCAGAAGATTTAAAGAACATTAAAAAGATAGCTGAAAGAGATGATACATTTGACCTGCTTGGTAATTCACTTGCACCTTCAATATATGGCCATTCATGGATAAAGAAAGCAGTGGTTTTGTTGATGCTAAGTGGAGTGGAAAAGAACTTAAAGAATGGTACCCATTTGCGGGGGTGAGTGATACTTCTATTTCTGTCTTGTTGGCATCTTATGTTTCTTATCAATACCAAATAAAACAGTACTCCAGTTACATGCACTTGTCTACAAGGCATCAGATGCCTTTTTTGCTTCTGTTTTTTTAGAGCAGTTTCTTCATGCCAAGATTGCCTTTCGAGTCTAATGGTCTCTTCTCATGTTCTTTTAGTGACATCAACATGATGATGGTTGGTGATCCATCTGTTGCCAAATCTCAACTCTTAAGAGCGATCATGAATATTGCTCCCTTGGCCATATCAACCACTGGTCGTGGTTCTTCTGGTGTAGGATTGACAGCTGCTGTTACTTCTGATCAAGAAACAGGTAACAGACCATGGTTTAGGCACTTTAGAATTATCTGGTAGGTTTTTCTAATTTTTAATCAGGGTTTTAATTTGCTTGACTTTTATCAGGAGAAAGAAGGCTTGAAGCTGGAGCAATGGTTCTTGCTGATAGAGGTGTTGTCTGTATTGATGAATTTGACAAGATGAATGACCAGGATCGTGTTGCTATACATGAGGTTATGGAGCAGCAGACTGTTACTATTGCCAAAGCTGGTATCCATGCATCTCTGAATGCTCGATGTAGTGTTGTGGCTGCTGCAAATCCCATATATGGAACGGTAAATGAGATGTTTGTCAATCATTTAAACACTATTACGTGCAAGTTGTTACATTATTCTATCTTTATGTTCAAATTGCTTACGTGAGCTTTTTTCTATGAATGGATGTGTAGTATGATCGTTCAATTACACCAACGAAGAATATTGGACTTCCAGATTCTTTGCTGTCTCGTTTTGATTTATTGTTTATAGTATTGGATCAAATGGATCCAGACATTGATCGTCATATTTCAGAGCATGTCTTGCGCATGCATCGTTACCGTTCTGCAATTGATGGTGGTACGTGATACATTCTTTTCATTCAATGAAAGCTACTTTCAGATATGCTCATGAAGAGAAACTTGAAAATATAGGTGAGGCAGCGCTTGATGCAAGTTCAAGATATGGAAGAGAAGATGATGCTGATGCTGACTCGTCTGTCTTTGTCAAGTATAACCGGATGCTACATGGAAGGAAAACAGAAAGGGGCCGGAAGCGTGACACACTTACAATCAAGTTTCTTAAAAAGTACATTCATTATGCAAAGCATAGGATTCAACCTGAGCTGACTGACGAGGTCATTATGCTTCTCATTATTGTCTTAAGAATTTTTTTAGCCCTTTCTGTAAACTGCCAATCTTCCATATCTGATTCTACAGTTTTAAAGAGCAAAATAACATTTTTCTTCGGGAAACATTCATTCCTTGCCTCCCAGCCTAGTTAAAAATGCAGTGTGGCTGTTACCAAACTAATGTTCACTTTTTTTGTCCACAGGCATCCGAATACATTGCGACAACGTATGCTGAGCTCAGAAGTGCCAGTTCAACTGCAAAGGTCGGTTTTAGCTGTGTATTGGATATAATTGATGCTGTTCTCATTCATTTCATCATCTGATATATTGCTTGTTTTTTGTAGACTGGTGGAACACTTCCAATTACTGCCAGAACCTTAGAAACTATAATACGTCTCTCCACGGCTCATGCCAAATTAAAATTGAGCAGAAAGGTATTGCTTTCCTCCCTCTGTAGGCATGCTATGAGATTTGTGCTATTATACTTTCAATTTTCAGATCAGGATACAGCTCCTTTTCTATGGGGTTTGTATTCATGATTTCGTTGCTTGTTGCAAATGATTTTTTCTCCGGCAGGTTTCTAAATCTGATGTTGAGGCTGCCCTAAAAGTTTTAAATTTTGCAATATATCATAAAGAACTTACTGAGATGGAGGAGCGTGAGCAAGAAAGAGAGACAGAGTTGGAGAGTAAGCGCAGAGCTGAGTGTCATTCTCAAAGAGATGTAGATGACCATGCTACTGTTGATAGAGATGGGTGAGCAGACATTGCATAAACATTCATGTTGAAACTCTCTTTTTGTTTACCATCTCTAGTGCCTTAGGAATGACTCTCATTGTCTTCCTTGGCATATATAATGGACCATATCATCATACCTCTTTCATTTCCAGTTACATTTTTTTGCACAGCCGTGTGATTGGAATGTAAAAACCATGACAAGTAATTTCTTTTCCCAGGAGAAACTGTATTGCTTCACTAGTATTTAACTATTTGTTTGTTATTTATGTATGCTTGACCATTTACCCCATGGCTATTACTGAATTTTGTTTTTGACTTATTATTGAAAATTTAAATCCCTGTGCTTAACAAGTTATCAAAACAATCGCTCAAACAACTCTAAATGAGGTAGCTCACGGTTGAAAGTATGCAGGTCAAGTTCAGTGTATTTTAAGATCTTGGCTGCAGACAGACAAATTTGGATCAAACCAGAACTGAAGAATTCTTGTAGATGTGCTAACAGGACTTAGATCTGATGCTGTGACTTGATAAATAACTTGGTGTCAAGCTCCCTTGCACTGAACTTTGTGGCCATCGATTAATTAAATACAAAGTTCTTGCCATGTGCTCTTCTTATTGTGAATGTTTTTGGGCTAACTGCAATAGATGAGTTTTTTTTTTCCTAGGGTTGGGTGGGGCACAGGATTGCTGAATTGCTCTTAAAATTGGAATTAAATGTGGGGACATAATCTTCCGGTAGTTTTTGCACTAGTTCTGTAGTTCACCTTTTTTTTTTTTCCCCATTCAGTTCAGTGACAGATGCCATGGAAGTTGATGACCATCCTCCAGCAGTGCACGCGACTGCTGAGTTGTCTCCAGAAAGGTCTTACACGAGCAACCAATAACTATGATCTAAGTTTCATTCATTCTGGTTTAGCCATTCTGTTTCAGAATACTTTTCAATGCTGCTTTGTATTTTGGCCCTGCTGGTTTGCAGAATTGAAGCTTTTAATTCAGCATTTCGGGAGCATATGCGTTACTTGGATAGCATAACCATTGATGACCTAGAGAAGGTTGTCAACACGGGAGGTGTTTCCTACTCCAGGGAAGAGTTAATGCTTCTCTTACAGGTAAGAAACTCACCTTTGTGAATCTGTTGGGATGGACTACAATACAGGAATCTTTGCATTCTGTTACTCTACAGATTTCCAATGAATTGCAGGGGCTTTTTCTCACTTCTATTTTTAAGTTTACAATTACTTTTAGGTGCCTGCATATCATACTGGTTATGTTCTGCCCTCTCTGATAGAAAGAATAACCAGTAATTAAGAGGTTCTCTTGATAATTTTTCAGAAGCTGCATGATGAGAACAAAGTGATGATAGCTGATGGAAAGGTTCACATGGTGATATCATGAGTTGTTGCAGTATCATCTGCAATGGCAAGCTCTAAGCAGGTACGTTGTAAATTGATTTATGCAATATATCCTCATATTTCTGAGAGTTATCCAGCCTTTTATTCTTAAAGTAATTGACACCCCTTGTCCATGCTGGAGAAAAAAGCAAAAAAATTTCAAATTTTTTGTTTCATGTGTTTCTATTTTCCTGAAGGTCACTTGTTGTATTTTATTAAATGAAGAGTCAAATGAGTTAACAGGCATTTGTATTCTTTCTTTCTGTCTTTCTTTTGTTTTGTTTTGTTTTGTTTTTCAAAAAAAAAAAATAATAAATTTCATGTTCCAGTGACTTTCTTTTTATTCGGGATAGACTGAAAGGGTTAGATTTCAGGATTTTGTGAGCACGGGTGGCAGCCTTAGTTTGGAGAGCAAAAGGTTTTGGTTGAAGAATCCCAGCATGTGCTTGCTGAGAGCTGTCATAGCAAATTGCAATGACATTAGTGGTGGTGCGTCATAGAACCAATTGGGAAGGAGCTTTCGAATTTGTGAAAGATTTGCTGCATTTCTGTACCAAGGGTACCCCAGTTTTAGAGCTTTCCAAATATGTAGTTCTTGTTTTCGTGACTTCACTAATTAAGAAGTAGACAAATCAAACGAAAACTGTGCAATATCAGTGTATACTTCGTAAATTACCTTGTATTAAGGATGCTAATCAAGTAATCATGACATTTCTACTTTGGCTTATTTTTGCCTTTGACTGCTGCATAGACTGATGATGCAAGTGCATGGTGCTTTTTTTCCTTTTGGTTGGTTGTAGGTGCCATTTGTCTTGGGCTGATATAGACCAACCTCTTCGTTTTTGGTTGCTGCTGGTTGAAGTGTGGAATATTTTCTTTTAGAATTTTCGATTACATTTTATGAAGAAAACTTACTACTGTTGATGGTTGGATTAAGCCACAACACAAAGATCTAATATCTATCTTCGGTTATTCATTGTGTTTCATAAAATAGAAAAGCAGGCTATAGCTTTAAATACCGGCTGTTATGTTATTATTTCGGATCACTTTGTTATAATTATTTGATGTTACAAGGTTCAATCATTGGTGTTATAGGATTTTTTTGTTGTTTAATGCTGTTATTTCTATGAGGGGGTGGAAAAAAACTCAAAATTTAGCTTTTACACTTAGCAGTCTAATTCATAAAAATGTTATTAGCATATTTAATTGATAAAATTGTTAAAAATATATAAATTAGAATACATTTATTAATAGTTAATATATTTATGATATTGATTGTTGTTTAGTTCGATTGTTTTTCAATTGCATATGTGATTTAATATTATGAAATACATTAAATGATATTTATTTTTTAAATTTGGTGATTGTTGAATTTTTAATTAATTTAATATTATGAAATGCATTAAATGATATTTATTTTTTAAATTTGGTGATTGTTGAATTTTTAATTAATTGTGTAGATCAATACCATCTTTAAAGGGTTGGTTTTGTAGTTAAAAATATGTTTTTTTTTTCTATTTGACTTTCAATTTTAAAATTAACATTTAAGATACTTCGTTATTTTTTAAGGCATCATATGGATGCAAACTGGTGATGTGATGATATTCTTATTCTCAAATCAAAATAAAGTTCAATATCGATCTAGGAGACAAATTAATTAAAAAAAATAAGAATGACATCTCTATTCAAAAAATAGAAATGACATATAGAGAGAGAAAGGATCTTTACATAAAATAATAATAATAATAAAAAAGAATAGAAAGGATATGCTGTGATGAAGTAGAATAAAATCATACAATTTCTAATTTTTTTTTTTTTTAATTCCCAAGGATAGATCATTTTTATTGATTAAGAAGATGAATTGACATCATCTAAATCATCTGGAAACCAATCAAGAATTATATCTGAATTGTCACACTGAAGATAACGAATGAGGACTTTTTGGGGTGCATGGGGAGCAATCAAATTACAATTTCTTTAAATTTAATTGACCCTAAGCTTTTTAATTTCTAACTTCATTATTGGTTATTATGGATTAGTTGGGCTTCACATCCCAACAAATTGACTGACTTGTGGATTAAATATTGATGGGCTAAGCACGGACAAGCCTACTATAGCCACAGATCCTCTAAATTTTGTCTTCTTGGCTGTGCCTCCCAGTAAAATTTTCCAAAAACAAATATATCATTTTTTTAATGAAACAATGAGTATACATTTCATATTCTCACTACTCATATCCTTTTTGTAATGAAATAATGAGTATATATTTTAAATTCTCACTACTCATTATTCATAATGTGATTTAATTTATCTTTCAATATAAAAAGTTAAAAAAATGATATAATTGATTCAATTATTTATGCTCCTTTAATAGTGCATAATCTTTAAAAAGATAAAAATACTTCTAGCACGTTCGAAGCGTGGAAGATTGATCGATATTTTTAAAGATGAAAATATTTACAAAATGATTAAGATACTTTTGATAATATACTTCTAGCATAAGTACAAATACTTGAAAAAAATCAAGAGACTTTGATAAATTATGTCAATATAGAGAGAAAATATGATAAAAAATAACATTTATTGATAAAATTTTTATATATAATGTTGCAATTGATATTTTAAATGAAAATAACGATCTTGAGCTTAAATTTATTGAAAAATATCGACATAACGATGATTGACCTAAATGAAAAGAGCAATCCAAGTGGAATTATGTTCTCTTACAAATGAGAAATTTTTGAACTCATAGTCAAAACACTTGAAGATGTTAAGTAGTATGACATAGATGAGTTTTTTGTGTAAAAACAAAAAAAGAAAAATGAGATTATGAGATATAAAGCAAGACTTGTAACATAAGGGTTTTCGTAAAGACTCGTCATTGAATATGATGAAACACATTCTCTTATAATGGATGCAATTACATTTCGTTATCTTGTTGGCCTAATAAAATATATGAAAAACTCATATGCGTGCATTTAATGAATGTGATCACAACTTATTTGTTCAATTGAAAATGATATCTATATAAAAGTCATAAAATGACTTAAGACGCCTAAAGCATGTAATACATATTTTCGAGAAATCAATTCAATTAAATTATAGAGATCTCTATAAGGATTATTTTAGTATTTGTTTTATTATTTTAGTTTTTAGAAATTCAATTTATGTTATACTTTTTATATTTATTTATTTTTTATTTTTCAATATCTATTTTTATTACTAATTTGTGTGCATATGGTATAATCACCTCAATAAATATTTTTTGAATGAATGTTATAAAAATAACCCTATTTATTCATTTATTTTTATAAAAAAAATTCAAAAAAAGGTTTGTGATAATTACTCGATATGTTGATGATTTAAATATTATTAGAACTCCCGAAGAGATTCAAGTACCATAAGTTATCTAAAAAGAGAATTTGATATGAAATACCTTGGAAAAATTAAATTTTATCTCGACTTGTAGTTTGAGCATTTAGAAAATGAGATTTTTATTTATCGATCAATTTATATAAAAAAAAGTTCTATAATGATTCTATATAAAGTGCATCAATTAACTAGCCCAATGATAGCTCGTATCCATTGACTAGTCCAACAAGTAGCTCGCACACTTGATATATAAAAAAAAAATTTTCGACCTTGAGAAGACAACAAAAAATTACTTGGTCCTCAAGCATCTTATCTTAGAATCACTAGTGCATTAATATATCTTACTAATGATACTCGACTTGATACGATCTTTTCTATAAATGTATTAGCAAGGCATAATTTTGCTACAAAGATATTGAAATGAAACTAAACATTTCCTACGTTATCTCCGAGGAAAAATTGATATGGTGTTTATTTTACTCAAATAAATTAAAGTTAGGTTTAATTGGTTATATAGATGTAAGTTATTTATTTGATTTATACAAATCTCGATCACAAATGAGTTATGTATTTACACATAATGATACAACTATATTATGACGTATTATGAAGTAAATTATAGTTGCCACATATTCAAATCATGCAGAGATACTAATTCATGAGGCAAGTCAAGAATACATTTAACTAAGATAAATGATCCATCATATCCGAAAGAGATGTGGTTTATCTACTAGGAAAGAAGTTTCAACAATATTATATGAAGATAATACCGCTTACATAATTCAATTAATCGAAGAATACTTCAAAGTGACAATATGATGAACTTATTCACTAATGCATTATCTATTACAGCTTTTGAAAAAATGGTTCACAAGAAAGGCTTGGTCTTAAAGATCTTAAATGATGTTTTCAACATGAGAGATCAACATAGAGATTAATATGCACAAAAAATATTGTACTCTTTTTCTTTCACAAAGATTTTTTTCATTTGGTTTTTTCCTAGTAAGGTTTTAACGAAACATGTTTTTCATACAATTGACATTTAAGAGGGACTCGTTATGAAATAATGAATGTCCATTTCATATTTTCACTACTCATTATTTTTAATATAATTCAATTCACCTTTCAATATGAGAAATTGAAAAGGTGATACAATTGATTCAATTATTTATGCACCTTTAATGGTTCATAATCTTTTTCAATTCTCTTCCTAATCTTGAATCTATAAATAAGCTTGATCATTCATTATTTTGTGTAGATATGTTTTGTAGAGATTGAGAGAATTATTTAAAATTTTTATCATTTGTATTCATTTTATTTTACAGTGAATTCATTTTCTCGTCATCTTTCTTTCAATTCTATTATTATTACCATTTTTTTTATAAGATTTTCTTTTTTCTTAAAAAAAAATTTCGTGTTTTCTATTGTTTATTTTTTTTTTAAAAAAATTATCGATTAATTGATATGGAAAATAAAAACTACAAAATTAATTAATTTAAAAGTAAAAGCATAATAATGAGAGGAAGATGGTGAGATACAAGAGAAATTAGTGGCGGGGATAATGGTTGAAACGTAATTTCAAGAAGCAAGCCAAGAACTGTCCATCTGTTTCTACATTATTCATTCTCTTATGGCCACTCCTTTGATCCTAAAAACTTCTCTTTTCTCTACCCGACACATCCACCACCTCCACCGCTATTACCCTTTCTCTGCAATTCTTTTCTTCTCCACAACATCGCATAAACCTCCCAAGCTTCGTTCCCTCAAATCCATAAAGGTAAACGGTACTAGAACACTACTTGCACAATTTTCTTATAATTATGTTCTTGATGGACTTTATTATATTCCTACATGGTTTCTTGATATTCCATGAATGCATTTATAATTATGTTTTTTTTTTTGTATGTTATTTATTAGATGGAAGGTGGAAATGAAATAACAGAAGAAGCCAAAGAGAATGTGAATCAGCAGCAGCAGAAGAAGAAAATATTTGTGGCTGGAGCCACTGGTAGCACTGGAAAAAGGATTGTTGAGCAGCTTCTAGCAAAGGGTTTTGAGGTCAAGGCTGGTGTTAGAGATTTAGACAAGGCCAAAACTAGTCTTTCTGAAAACAACCCATCTCTTCAAATTGTTAGTACTCCTATCCTATATTTCTTCAACTGGAAACATGTCACTAGCTAGACAGTTTGCACACACTCAAAACTGAACTGGGTTAATTCTCTATTTTTTTGTTTCCTTTTCTTTTTCTAGGTCAAAGCGGATGTAACTGCGGGGTCTGAGAAGCTTGTGCAGGCCATAGGGGATGATTCTGAGGCTGTAATATGTGCCACTGGGTTTCGCCCTAGCTGGGACTTGTTTGCTCCTTGGAAGGTGATCACTTGGTTCTAGATTGGTGTTGGTTGTTTTTCTATATATATATTCTTTTCTTGTCTAAAACATGTAAAAAATTTATAATGCTGTGCTTGAGCTGATTATCGATTAATTCGAATGAAAGTTGTTTCCCATTGTTGTTTCACATGGAACAAGATAATAGGTGTCATGTTTGACTTATCTTTCTTCGCCTATTAAAAAAGCCTCAAGGCATTAGGTCATCTGTTGGAATGGTAATGTCTGTATTCTGGATTTTTTGAGATGTAGGATTGCAATTTTTTCTGCCTGAAACAAATTTCTATCCTGAACTTATTCCCAATCTACGTTCTTGAATCAGTTCTCTGTCAACTGCATCTTTATCTGATCTGTGCATGTCAGAAATATCTAGGTACGAAATTTTGAACGTTAGAAAATCAGATAAGAATCAGGATGGCATTGTAATGAAGGCAAAATCAATCATGTCAACATGTAATCCGGAAATTGGATAGTTCAGCATGTTCTGTAAATATGTTATGTTTTTGGTGTCCATGTCTCTGTTTGTCAGTCTTATGAAGGATACATTGTTGCAGGTCGACAATTTTGGCACTGTGAACCTTGTTGAAGCTTGCCGTAAACTTGGCGTGAACAGATTCATTCTTATAAGCTCAATTTTAGTCAATGGAGCTTCAATGGGGCAGATACTTAATCCAGCTTACATTTTTCTCAATATTTTTGGCCTGACCCTAGTAGCAAAGCTTCAGGCAGAGAATTACATCAGGAAATCTGGCATAAACTACACTATAATTAGACCGGGTGGTTTGAGAAATGAACCACCATCAGGAAATCTTGTAATGGAGTCAGAGGTAACAAAATTTGTTTAAAGCATTTCTGATGTTCTTCATGCTCTCCCATGCTATGAGGAAATTGTTAACTCTCCCTCTCTCTTGGTAGGATACTCTTTATGAAGGTACCATATCAAGAGATCTGGTTGCAGAAGTTGCCGTCGAGGCATTACGTCTTCCAGAATCATCGTACAAAGTCGTGGAAATAGTCTCTCGTGCTGATGCTCCTAAGCGTACATACAAGGATCTTTTTGGTTCTATTAAGCAACGGTGACTGCTTCATTATTAAGCAATGGTGACATAAAGCATTGTATATTAGTAAGATTTCTGATTCCTTTAAGGATCTCTCAGCAAGCTATTCTGCGTACTTTCACTTCTGACTTGTGTATAATTCCTCTGTTTGAAACTTGTAAGGCTGGAGCAGATAAACTATAAGTTTTGGCTATTGTCAAGGTATTAAAATTTTGTTTGCTTGGCCAGACGAGTATAACTATACTGTTTGTAACATTCAGATGCTTTATTAGGAATCTCATAGTGCCTCTATGCTCATCAGGGAACAAACAACGAATAAATACGTTGAGTCATTATTTGGTCTCTTAAAGAAGTTAGCAATTTGTCTGTAAATGATGGCTTAGGATCCTCACCTCCTGGCTGCCAAAGGAAAAAACTAATTTTAAGTTTTGCTTCTAGTAAGAAATTCTGAGAAATCGGTAATTACGAGTTCATTTTGGAAATTTGGTAAGCATGACAATGATAATATGAAGGAAACCTAACGGATGCCATATATTGAGAGCCATTGAACACAAATTCTGGTAATGTTATAAACTCGGCATGAAACAATGCCAGCAGATGAATATTGGACACAGTAAAACCTTCTTACGCTAAAGCAGTAGCAGAATTGAAGCAAGCAACTTCCTTAAACAAGCAACAATGCACTCAAATTATTCGGGATGCAACAGAATGGCGGAATAATAAAAGAATTGAGCATTCCATAAACAAGTACCAGTGTTAACAAACACAACATATAACCAAATTTAGATGATCCAAGCAACCAAAGAGGCTATGACAGCAAGTGCAGCTGGAACAGCCAGAGTCACTCCAGCACTTTCCATTGGCGATGGTGCTATTCCCCCCAAATCTTGAAGCGCAACTGAGGTTCCAAAAGTAGTAAAAGCCAGAAGAAGAATGACGTAGATGGTGAGGATCATGGTCATCTTACAACTCTCCATTTCTCCCCAAGAGGCTAACAGCAGCAAGCAGAAATTAATGACTCACAAGGGAGAGGATATACTGAAGTAGGGTTTTGATCGTGTGAGTTTAAAGGAGTTTCTTCTTAATGGTTTTATAGGGAGGATTTAGGGGGATTCTTTACAGCTATGTCATGCTGGTTTCGCAAACCAAATACAGTGCCTTAACTTTTGCGAAAAACATTCTACAAGACGTTTTTGGGTAGATGCTGTAGTAAAAATTGCCTTTAAATTAGCAATGCTATGCTATGCTATGCTATATTGCTATCTATGAATTTTGATGTTAGATTGCAAAAACAACCCTCTGCGTGAGGCTGGCTTGGAGAGTGATTGTTTTTATATTAATTAACAATATGACATTTTTAATTGAGGTCTATCATGTGGAGTTTTTTCCCCTAAATAGGGTACTTTTTAATCTATTTTTCCAAAATAAGATATTTTAAATCTTATTTATAAAAAGAGGATTGTTTTGCGATGTAGGCATCCATGTCATCTTTTTTAATCCATTGTTTTGCCATATAAGCATCTATATCATCTTTTTAATTAGGTGTTATAATATATATTTAATATAATAATTTAAAAAAATCAGAAACATAAAAAAAAAAAAATTAACTTAAACTCTCTCTGTCCCCTTTTTATTGTCTTTACCCTAATTTCTTAAAATTCAAATACCCTCACAATTCAAAATCACAATCATTAAAACAGTGCTTTTGCATATGAATATCATCAATTAAGGTAGTTTTTTAAATTCTTTTGTTTTTATTTATTTAATTTCTTAAATTCTCTCAGCTTAAATTCTTTTTTTCCTCCTTTTTTCTTCTTATTTTGTTACTACTGCTACTGTCTCTGTTGAACGAGTCGTTGGAATATCACATGGTTGTCAAGTTCCTGAATATATACAGGGTATCAATCCAGGAACTTGACTTTATACACACACACACACACACACACACACACACACACACACACATATATACATATAGGAGGGAGGATGAAGAAACAGAAAGGGACGGGAATTCAGGGTAGAGAAAATATATATACACACACACACATATAGGAGGGAGGATGAAGAAACAGTAAGGGACGGGAATTCAGGGTAGAGAAAACAAGCTTTCTGAGTAGATAAGAGAAAGTGATAAAGGTCAAAAATCGAGTAATTTTAGGGGAAAGAGTGACTGCATATTCTGGGTTTTCTGGACAGGAGTTCTTCGTATTCTTCATTGCTGGGTTTTAGTTCATCCCTAATTGACTTCGTCACTCAATCTTTTTTTTGATTTTTTGTGTTCATTTACAATCAACCTACGACTATCGACCCACATTGTCAATTTAGGGGGTTTAATTTTGCTTTGTTCGATTTTCCTTCATTAATTTTCTGGGCAGGGGACTTGGCGTTTTGGGTTTGTTTGGGTTCTTGTTCATCCGCAGCTCTCTTTGGACACCAATTCTTTGGATTTCGGACTCAACCCAAGTATATCCATACCCACCAGCAATTTGTTGGTTGTTTAGAAATCATCCCAGAACCATTTTGTCATCAATTCAGTCCGTAATCAGCATTCTGAGCAATCCAGTGGTTGGTGTCTTCAAAAATTTCTAAGTTGAAGTTCATCCCTAATTGACTTCGTCACTCAATCCTTTTTTTATTTTTTGTGTTCATTTACAATCAATCTACGACTATCGACCCACATTGTCAATTTAGAGGGTTTAATTTTGCTTTGTTTGATTTTCATTCATTAATTTTCTGGGTAGGGGATTTGGCGTTTTGGGTTCTTGTTCATCTGCAGCTCTCTTTGGACACCAATTCTTTGGATTTTGGACTCAACCCAAGTATATCCACACCCACCAGCAATCTATTGGTCGTTTGGAAATCATCCCAGAACCATTTTGTCATCAATTCAGTCTGTAATTAGCATTTTGAGCAGTCCAGTGGTTGGTGTCTTCAAAAATTTCTGGGTTGAATTCAAGTTCATTCCAACCGTAGCAATAAATTTTTGATTTTAAATCTTATCTGAGCATATCGATAAAATTCCTTTGAACCTCCTGAAAATTAATGAAGGAAAATCGATGAAAATGGAAAAGCTAATAATTTCCAGAGATTTCAACGATGCAGGGGTGATCTTAACAAAACAAAAAAATTACATAGAAAATTGAAAATGGAATAAACAATGGTGAATAAGCAAAAATGTTTTCCAAATCAGTTAAAACATGCCAACCCTTGTTAGTGGGATTTGAATTTATTTTTCTTATATGTCAAATTACATAGAAAATCTTTCATTAGTGTTCTTCAATCTTTAGTTATGTCATGAAAAGAGCTAAAACTTTCTTCTTCTGACTTTTTAATTTATTTTGCTACCCATTTTTTTGTCTCAATTTTCTCAGATATTCTAACCAACTATTAAATTTTATTTTTTCAGGTTGCTAATGATTAACGAGAGATATACCTATATTTTGCTATTGGAACTGGTCATATTATAGATGGGGAAGAAAGACCATGTTACGATAATCCACCAATGAAGGCCATTAAAGTGACCCGAACAATAAAATATTATGAGCTACTAGATAAACTATATGCTATTACAAAATTTGATAAACAACATATTCAATCGAAGTTAGTCCGCAGATATCTTACGATTGTGCGGACATCAATGGTCAAGTATATTCGCATGTGTATTGTTGATGATAGCGATGTAGACATCATGCTTGAAATTCCTTCTATTCATGCTTCAGTTAGTAACATTGAGTTGTATGTTGAGACGTAAGTCGTACCTATTGAAACAGATCGAGCGTGATATTCAAGGCATTGGTTCGGATGTACTTAGGCGATTGACCACTCAGAAGATAACAATTTACTCAATTCTCCTCTACATTTTGATAGAAATCGTGTTTCTTCTCTCGAATCATCCAACTTCTTCGATTGTTGGTGCAAAGTGCATAGATATGATCATGAAAGTGATGCAAGTGTGGATATGACTACAATATAGCGAATGGTTGAACATGAAAGTACCGGTATATTTGATGATATGCATGTGAATAATAACTTAATAGAAGAAGTTGATGTGGGTGAGGAAAGAGCAGAATATGAAGAATCGAAGAAGAAGAAGAAGACGAATATAATGAAGTTGAAGATGTGGCTATGAATGTGACATGTGATGATGGTATGGTAAATTCATAAGAGCAACCTTTTTCGAAGACCGTGGCTTAGCAAATGAGCGAGAATCAACCACGACATGAACCGTACACACCTTACTTCAAAGATGCAGATTGGGTAGATATCGCTTTGGTAAGTAATTGGACTTCATTACCTCAAAATTATAGATGGAATCCTAATGATGAGTTGATTAAGGGGTTAATCTTTCAAGATAAGGAATAATTACGGAGAGCAATAAAATTATACTCTATCAAGCGACATCAACAATATGAAGTTCTTGAAACTAAAGAAAAGGTATGGAGTTTGAGATGTAAACGACATAGGGAAAATGGGTGTAAATGGAGACTTCGTGCATTCAAACGAAAGAGTCATGGATTATTTGAGATTACCCAATATGTCGTTGCCCATACTTGTGTTTATCTAAGTCTTAGTCGAGACCATCGTCAACTAGATGCAAAATTCCTAGCCCAAGAAATAGAAGGTCAAGTGAAGGTACAACCATCTATCTCGATAACGACTTTACGTGAATAAGTGAAGGCAAAGTTTTACTATAGTGTTTCTTATAAAAAGATGTGACATGCAAAACGTAAAGCAATCACAAAGGTGTTTGGTGACTGGGATACATCTTATCAAGTGTTGCCAAAATTAATGGAAGCTATTCAAACATATAATGGTGGCACCATTGTAAAGTGGCACTATGATCTTTTACAGGATCCAAATTTAGCTTTGTTTAAACGTGTTTTTTGGAGTTTTTCAGCATCTATCGAGGGGTTTAAGCATTGTTGACTCGTAATTAGTATTGATGGCACACATTTATACGGAAGATATTCGGGAAAGATGCCGATTGCAATGGGAGTTGATGCAAATGGATAACTTTTTCCACTTGCATTTGCTATTGTAGAGGAGGAGTCCTTTGATAGTTGGAGTTGGTTTCTAGCTTGCATTAGAGAGAAGGTTACCGATCGTAGAGGTATTGTTTGATATCGGACCGTCATGCTCGGTATTCTTCGTTGCAGTGAATGAACATGGTTCAAGATGGAAAGAGCCTTATACGTATCATCGTTTTTTCCTAAGGCATTTATGTAGTAATTTTAATGACGGATTTCATAGCAAACACTTAAAAAATCTTATTTACGGAGCCGAGAGTGCACATCGAGTCGAGGAAGTTTAATGCTCGTTATGGATGAAATTGAAAAATCTAATTCGAGGCTCGAAAATGGCTAGAAGAAATTCCTCAAGAGAAATGGACATTAGTATATGATGGAGGTAGACGGTATGGAGTGATGAAAACTAATTTATCCGAGGTATTCAATAGTGTATTAAAAGGAGCTCGTAATTTACCGATCACTGCTTGTGTGCAACCGACATTTTATCGATTGGTAATTTACTTCAATGATAGAAGAAAACTTTCAAAAGAAGTCGTTGATGAAGGAAAACTTTATGCTCCTCATATCCTAGCAAAGCTTAATGCAAAGCTAAGCATAGCTAATGCACATGAACTCGTTCCATTTAATGAGAACAGAGGAATCTTTGAAATAATAACGAGCACCTCATGATGAACGAATGCAATGGGGTCATAATAAACAAGTTGTTCAGCTAGATAATGGTAAAATGGCAAATATATAAATTTCCATGTTCTCATGTATTAGCGAGTGTGTGGAAGATTGGCTCTTGATAGTTGGCAATTTATTGATAAGTATTACAGTATGTAAGAGCATTTTCATACATGGGCACCACGGTTTCATCATATTATTCATCAAGATTATTGGCCGTAAACTAGCATTCCAAGATTATATCCCGATCCTAATCGTCGATGAAAGAAAAAAGGAAAACCAAAATCTACTTACATTCGGAATGAGATGGACATTCGAGAAGGTCGAGCCACAATACATTATGGATTGTGTAAACAACCGAGATCATGATCGTTGAACTTGTCCATCAAAATAATGGTAATTATATAGTTTTTAATTCGAGTTAATATATTTCATGCTTTATAGTGGATATGCAACCAACTTATTGTCTTTTTTCTTAATATTTTACGGTTCATAACTTTTGGATGTCAAACAATGATGTGCAACATGGATTTCTTGGTCACAAGATTCTTTAAAAACAAATTCGAAAGCAAGATAACCGATTATTTATTTTTCTCATATTTTAGCGCATTTTATTCCGAGACTATGCAGTACAATTATTTTAATTAGTCGATTCTTTTATCTATAAATACAACTTTATTAAATTTAAAATTAACATTTAAGATTATTTATTGTTTGTAAAATTTTAAGAGTACTATAGAAATTAAAGTCGGCATCTTATTATTATTTTTTTATGAGTTTTCTTCGTTTCAATTTGCATAGTCCGGTTTGATCGTACCTTCCATGAGTCCCGGAATAGTATCGAATTAGCAGGAGTCTTTATGGAAACTCCACAAGCCAAAATCGACAAGGAAAAGACGGGCTTATTATACAAGTACTCTATTTAAAAAAAAAAACTTGGCTACTCGAGTCTCGTTTTACTTCATGGGATAATAATATCAGCACTTCGACAGCATTCTATTAATTATATCCGATAAATGCCATGAACACTTGCAGTTTGAGAGAATGTAATGCATATAGTGGCTAAAACATATAACACCCGAGCTCGCTAAAATAGACAAAAATCGATAAGGAAAAGAGGGGCTTAGGCTTGGTCAACTAAGCTAGCCAACAATGTTGAAACTCATTATTTGCAAAGTTTATACAACTAGGGTACTTAATAGCCAAAAATTTTCTAAGAGATTCTAACTCTCGTATCTCAAACTTGTACAAACTAGATCCTTTTTCAAATTCCCACGCCAAGATAGCTTCCTCGTGCTTGCTTCGCACCGGATACATGGGGTATTATAAATTAATATCATCAAACAATATTTCAGCAGAGTGCACCAATGGCCGGAGCAATATTTCAGCGAGAACTTGGGATAGACTCTTCGGTAAGTCGCATCATACTCGCAGGACAATAATGCAGAAGAATATGATTACACATAGCATGAATCTGTTTAAAATTAGTGCGAGATAAAATTAGAAGAGGAAAAGATGAAGGAGAAACACATTAGTTTACAAATCCTACAATTAAAATCCATGTGACTTTCTATGGCCAATTATGAATGACAACCAAAATTTATTTCAACCTAATAAGCTTGACCAAGCGAGAGTCGAGTCGATTTTAGTTTGACGAGCTTAGTAGCCGATCTTCACATAAGAAAATGGAGGTTAAACTCGCTACCTTCTAACCAAGAAACCATCACACCATTCAAGTATAAAACATATGAAATTATCTCCACATAGCACACCTATCGTTTCCTTTAATAGCAAATTCATGTCTCACATTTTAGACTATCGAGTATACTTTATAAATCAACCAACCTCTTCTTAATTATATACTCTCCCGTCAAATTTGCTTTAAAGATGTCGGTGCGTATATCTTCTCGGATAACACAAACTATCAAACAAAACTTGGTTACGGACTTGTCTAAGAACCTCAAAACACCGAGTCAAATTCCTAAATTTGCTAAGAATTTCAAAATCACATCAATCCCTTGAATCTTTAAGAGTTTTATTCAAGCGAGAAAATACTTGCATCTCGGAAAATTTTGCTGCAATTGGTAGCAAAAATTGGCAATGAATTACTATTCTTTTTAATGCGTAATTTCCAAGCTTTATTCTTTGAACACTAAGAATCAAGTGGAAAGATTTGCACCGATCCAACATAAAGTAAAACATAAAAAATAATTCATTAAATGACATAGTACTTTAGCTTGTGAAAGTTCAACAACGAGAAACAAAGAACAAATTAACTTATGCAACTAAAATTCGGAGAACCAATAATGCACATAAAATTCAAGAAATTATTACAACTATTAAGAAAGTATCCAAGAAGGAACAAAAACCCCTTAAAGAAGGGCAACGAGGATGAAAATAAGAAGGGAAGCAATGAAAGAGTACTTACGAGCGAGCAACAAGAATAGCAAAAGAGATAAAGAAAGCTTCCAAAGAACTTGAACACTAACCTAAGCAAACAAACCAGTTAATCCAACAACCAAGATGTTTTCGGGATGCGGGTTCGGTAACAAATCACCCGATTTGATATTGTTAAAGGGAGGAGGTTGATCTTTCTTCAAATCATCACCACCACCACTGTTATTCGAAGGCCCATTTTCCTTCTCTTGTTCGGTTCTTGAGTTAGGTTGTTGTTGTTGCTTTGTGCAAAGAGGAAGAATCGTGGATGAATTTTTCTGGAGATTTTGAGAGGGAAATAATGGAGAGGGAGGGTGGTTTGGGGATGGAGAAGAGTGGTTCTTGAAAATGACGGGATGCGGGTTCGGTAACAAATCACCCGATTTGATATTGTTAAAGGGAGGAGGTTGATCTTTCTTCAAATCATCACCACCACCAATGTTATTCGAAGACCCATTTTCCTTCTCTTGTTCGGTTCTTGAGTTATGTTGTTGTTGTTGGTTTGTGCAAAGAAGAACAATCGTGGATGAATTTTTCTGGAGATTTTGAGAGGGAAATCATGGAGAGGGAGGGTGGGTTGGGGATGGAGAAGAGTGGTTCTTGAAAATGACGGGATCGGTGGGCGTAAGAAAGATTTGTGCCCTAACATTTTGTTTGTGGCATATCGGAGCATTCGAAAAAAAAATTGAAAAACGAAACATGGCAAAATCCTTTTTTTTTTTTTTTATCTTTGATTAATCGAGGAACCGAAACAAAAAAACCAGAAAAACAAAAAAGATTTTTCGATAGTAAAAAGAAGATGAAGAACATAAAATTTAGAATGATAACATAATTTTTTTTAAAAAATAAAGTCGATGTGTTAAATGATTTATTATTTGTATTAAAAAAATGACATGTGTAAAAGATCTAATCTATGTGGTAAAAACTACCTTATTTTAGTAAATAAGATTAAAATAACCTTATTTTTGTAAATAAGATTAAAATAACCTTATTTTTGTAAATAAGTTTTATAAGTACCCTATTTAAAAAAAAAACTCCTATCATGTGCTCATCCAGGCAACTAAATGTTATTAGCATTAATTTGTCGCAAATAATTTAGCAGAATCTTGATTCATTAATTGTATTTTGATCTAATTATGCTTGATTGTATCTTCATTTATGCCAATTATTCTAACCCCTTTTGTTTTGTATTTCTTTTTCTAGCTTTTCCTTTTTTAGTTTTCAATATTAGTGATCTATTAGGCATTGTATATATATATATATATATATATATATATATATATATGACTCTCATTTTTCTTATCTTATGGTTTCGATGAGGATGTAAACCTCCAAATATGAGGTGACTCTTTGTTAACTAGTGTAGCTATAGAATTTGCTAGTGGATGGGGATGATGCAAGTTAAAATACTTGTAAAAACAAGTCTTTCCGATTGGATGGATGACCCTCTCATGACTACTAAGTCAATGTGCACATAAGAATGGGAGCTTGAGGAGGTAGTAATATAAAAATAAAAAAGATGATAAATAGTGTTTAAAAAATGATGTTTTTCAAAGAAGAAGATCTAGATCCTTTAACCTTACGTTTCATGGTCTGTTTATATAACCATGAAACTCGTCAAGTTCTATGGGATGAATAGCAACAACTTTTAATTTTAATTAGAAAGTATCTCTAGTGTTGATGAATAACTATTGAATGAACATGCTGATGTTATGGTTCCTGTCGATTGGACCAAAGTGATATTGAACATATGTATTGATTTATTGAATGTACTTTATATCTCTTTTAATTAGTGAAAGTTAAGTGCAAGTCTTTTGATAGTTGGCTAACTCCTAGGAGATAATCCTAAGTGCATATTTGAAGGCCATTTAGATGCTCCTAGCTTGGCTATCCGAGTTTATTCCCGCTATTGTGCCATGAGTGTGGGACCTAGTTTTCTCATGTTTCATCCTTGGTCGGGCTTTGGACCCATAAGTTTTTCTTATCTATTAGTTGTCTCTTCAAATCGAGTTGTCGTAGCAAAGACTTAATCTTCATTCAATCTTAGAGAGTCCTTCCGAAGGGCCTTAGGAGTCCTATGTTGCGTTTGGATTGTTTATGGGTGTTATCACTTGTCACTTATCCAATCATTTTCATGCCTCATATGTGGTTAAGGTCGCTTATCATCCCGAAGATCGTCTTGGCTTGGAAGAGTCCAAGGGACGACGTGTGAGATCATGGGAAAATGTCAAAGAGTCATGGTGCTTTCAAAGTTTCAAATGCTCATCATTAATATCACCGCATCATTTATTGAAGATGATTATACTCGTTAAAGTTCGTTGGTGTGACCATTTCGCGAGTTCGATCAATAACAGAGTTAGCTATTACATGGAAGGCTTCTCATGTAAGACTTGTGATAAGATGATAATGCTTACATGGCATCTCTCGTTGCGGTGTCACTATGAGCTATAGAAATGTGAGATGGAATTTACTAGAGTAGTTTCAAGAATCTGTTAGATAATTAGTTAGCCTAGGAGAAAACTATTATAAAAAGAGGGAGTTCATTTGTAATGTTTTAGGCAAGAATTGTGTTTTCTCTCCTTTTGAATTTTCTCTATCTAGAATTCTCTCTCGTTCTTTTTTCTTCTCTTTCTATATTTTCTTATAACGATGACAAAACTCTTATAATCAGTTTTAATCATTGATTCATTTCATTGTTTGATTGTATTTAAAGAACTCATTTTAATTCAATAAATCTAATACAAGTCATTTTTGCATCACACTCTTTTTTTCTTGATTATTGAAATTTGGATTGTATCAATTGATATTAAAGAAAGATTCTCTTACTCGTGAAACACTATCAATATCAATCATGACAAAAGTAAATGTTGGTCTTAAAAAGATGGAAGAATCGATTGCTACACTTACTAAGGAAATCACCGATCTTACATATAGATGTGATTCAATTTTTTCATAGCATGATCATGATATAGGTGAACTAAAAGAATTAGTTATTGAACTTAAGATTACGAGTACATGAGAAAATGGATGGTAATAGTGAGGAGTTGGGAAATTTAAATGATAGAGCTCATGCGGTTCCTAGATATGGTTATTCAATCAATGCAATGCATGCTAGTTTGGGAAATAACAATGGTACAGGGGGTAGTACGAGGTATAATTTCAACACTAGAATGTTTAGGGTGGAATTTTTAAGATTTTCTAGAGAGGACTTTGAGGAATGGACTTTCATGTGTGAGGAGTATTTTATGGTTGATAAAACTCCTAAGGACCAAAGTGAACTTGGCTGCCATACACTCGAAGAAGAAGCTTTAGAATGGCATCGGGTTTTCATGAGAATGAATGGAAGTAAGTTACTAATTAAATGGGAGAATTATGTTGAAGCCATGAGCATTCGTTTCAATTCTATGATATTTAGTGATCCTATGGCTGAATTAATAGGAATAAAACAAGTTCGGGATGTCCGATCTTTCCTAAAAAAATTAATTTACGTTGTTAATAGGCTGGTTCTACTCGAGGACGATGTCATTAGCTACTTTATTGGAGGTTTAAAGCTTGATTTACAAGTTCTAGTAAGGGTGACGAGGTTAAAAAGAAGCGGTAGCTTTAGCTAAACTGCAGGAAACTAATATAAATATTCACCATAGTTCCAATAGATTCAATGCTAGAATCCCTTCTTTGTTCAACCAAAAACCAAACACTAACCCTTCATTTTTCAATTCAAGAATGAATAATGCTGCCAATTACAAACTTATAAATTCTTCATACCAAAATGTACCGAGTAAACCATTCTAATAATGCTACAAATAACTAAAAGGGCTTGCTACTTTTGCCGACTTCGATTTCAAAATAGTAACTCGAGTAATTAGAACTTGAAGGCTACCTAATAACATAGAAATGGATGAAAGGAGGTTAATGGGACTATGCTCCTTTTGTGATGAAAAATACACTCCTATTCATAAGTGTAAGGAAAGGTAGATGTTAATGTTAAAAGTATAGAAAGATGGGGTTAATATTAGAGAGAATGATGTAATTGAGGAAGAAATGTTAGGTGGGGAAACACAGGATATGGGAAGAATGGAAGATACGATGGGAAACTCTTTCAAATATCAATACAAGTAGTATTTGATGGGGAGAATTACCAAACCATGAAGCTCATTGGGAATTTGTAAGGAAACTTAACCTAACCATGTAATAACTTAACAATTGTCTTCTCCTCTAACATAAATTAAAAAATAATAAAAAATATATTTTATATCTTTTTGCAAAAAAAAAAAAAAAAGAAATAAAGGGAAATTTCCATTTTTCATAACAAATCAAAACCATAATTTATAAGTCATCTTAATTTTTTATATATATTTTTTATTTATGGTAATCTAACTAAAAAATATTCCTTTTACTTCATTCAAATTATATATTACCATGAAAAGTTGTACTTATTAACTAAAAAAGGGCGAAATATTTTATATTAAATTTATAATAAAAACTAAATTTATGACATTAACCAAGTATGAAAATATAAAAAGAAAATAATCATAATGTTTTAAATTGTAAAAATTACATTTTATATTTTTTGAAAAGTTAAAAAGAAAATTAAGTCGAGTAAAATTTCCATCCAAAATGTTTTTTCATGTCATTAGAGCCACGTTGTCACTAATTTGCCACATCATCATTTAATTATTCATCTCACAATTATCACCTCATTTCTTTATGTCATCTCATTAATGTTTCATTTCATATACATCACCTCTTCAAATTTTACTTTACTTGATTGGTACAAATTTAAGAATCCACGAATCTATTTAAAATAAATAAATTTTGAGAGAAGCAAACATACTTATTATATTATTATCTGAAATTTAAATTGTGTCCATGGTTTTTCTCTCGTTCGAGAGAAGTTAGTATTGTTTTGGGTATAACTGGAATTAATTAGTTGTTTTAACTATGAATTTTTTATGTTTGGTAATTCTCGGGGGAATTAATTAGTGTTCATAATTATAATTATTTTTATGTTGGCTATAATCGGCACTACAAGAAAAAGCCGATATAGGAGCGAAATTCTTGAGGCGGTTTTCCTTTCGAGCATTTGCACCGAGAGTGGAGTTTTATAGGAAAACTTTGGGGCGGTTCATAAAACCGCCCCAAGATGTTAGAGGCGCAAATTTTATTTAATTATTTTTTTTAATTTGTTTCGAAAGGGGGAAGGGCGTTTCATTTTCCCTCTCCTTAGGGTTTCTCGACCTTCTCTTCCACTCTCGATTTGTTGCTTCCTTCTCCTTCGATTCTTCATTGGAAATTTCTTTTGATTTTGAAAGTGATAAGATCGGACATAAGTTTTCCTTCTTCACTAAATCTTCTTCTCCTCTACTTCTTGTGTCTTCTCGCTTCTGCTACTCAAAAATTTTCCCTCTTCACCGGATCTTCTTCTCCTCTGCCTCTTGCGTGTTCCGCTCTCGCTTGTTTTTGCTTATTTTTAATTTTTTATTTGTTGTGAAAGGGATACAAACGCTGCATTATCCCGCTTCTCTTAGGGTTTTTC